CTCCGCAATCCCTCCCACCCCGCCCATTTCCGAACCCCCGGTATCAGAATCCCCGGTTCAGAATCCCCAGTTTTGCCCCCCCCTCCACCTCGGCTCTGACCCACCTGCCTGTCATTGCAGCTCGGTCCAGGAGGCTTCGTCTCGATTGGTGGTAGTGATAAGTGTAAGTACCAGTTTAAATGAACAGGTACTCTTTCAGGGGGACATTCGGACTCGGTTCGTTACTACGACGTGGCATCGGCTAGCTGGTATCCGACGGAAAACCGGGACCCACTTGTGGTTCCGGGCCCGTTAATCAACCACTCGGCAGTTTCAGACGGCAGCGGAAGCATCTTCGTAATCAACAGCGTGAGCGACCGGAGGGGCGGCCTATTGGGTCGCCATATTTGGGCGGGGGGGGAGGGGGGGGCGACAGAAATGGTGCCTGCTTTAGGATAACAGAATATGGTTGTTAGATTTTGTGACGCGTCCTGCCGTGGCTTATGAAGAGCCTCTCAGTTACCAGTGGATATTAATCTATCAATGGAGTGCTTCGGTGTCTGTGTCCGTGTCGTCAAGTCACCAAAGCTTCCTGTTCGAGTCGTACCTCATAATTGTACCCACGAACGAGTCCGAGAGTGTGTGCTCCATTCTGGTGCTGAACACAGCGAGCTTGCGCTTTCGCCGATTTAAGAACAGTGGCTGCAATCGCCACAAGACTTTATATTTCGTCGCCGGGGACTGGCTGTACCGCATAGGCGGTTGCGACCGACAGGCGTTCCACTGCTACACAGATCTGTTCCGAACTGACCTTCGAAAGTTGGTTGAGGAATCGACGACCACTACAGAAGAGAAGTCCTCTGTAGCGGGGTTGACACCGTCTGCAGACACTCTGCCCACAGTAGACTGGGTTCTGGTGAAGGAAGACCTGACTGTGGGTCTATACCACTACGGAGGGAACGCAGTGCGGTTGAGTCGTGATAGTGTGCTAGTGATAGGCTCTCCGATCGCAAATCACGAGCCTCTCGCCTACGTGATCAGGCTGGATTCGGTTACCGGGTGCCAGAACATAAAGACGGCGACCGCCGCGGCGGACGATGGCAAGCCTACTGTGTGTACGCCGTGTGCCGACAGTACACGCTTGGGTTACGATTGCGAGTTGTCTGAGCTGCGTGTCGCGTACGACGGCGTGTGCAACCATCACGGAGACCTGGACCCGCTACACCGCTGCGTGTGTTTCAAAGGCTTCTACGGCGCCCACTGCCAACTGGGCGCCGCCGACTGCGACTGTCACGGCCGCGGCTCTTGCGACGCCAAGTCCACTTGCCGCTGCGATGCCGGGTGGACCGGAGAGTCCTGCCAAATCCCTCTGACCTGTCCTCGAAACTGCTGTAACCGCGGCGTCTGCCAAGACTCGATCTGCCACTGCCAAGACCCCTACGTCTCCAGCTCTTGTCTCCTAACTCAAGACGACATCGTGGCCTTCAGACGCGATCGGCTACAAATCATCGACGACGTCCAGTCCTATCTAAACGCGCTCACCTCAAGTGCTCTCAATTCGACGACCCGCTCCACCAGTGCCGGTGAACCCTCTTCGGACGAAGCATTTCGGAAACTGCTCCTGGAGGCGAAGGCAGTGGCCGAAACATCCATCAGCAACCCCGACCACGTGGAAAACTATTTTGTTACGGACGCGTCGTGCTCGTTCGCCACACCTCAGGCCGTTGACGTGCCCGCACAACAGTATTCGCAAACCGCCACTGCTCTCAATCTCGTACAGCCTCTGGGAGGCCTCATTGCCTCGGGACAGACCGCATCCCAGCAGCTGGGCTACGATGTATACGCAGCTATGCTCGCACACCAAGAGACCCAATTGGCCCAACGCGCGGCCGAAATGAAACAGGCTCAGAAACAGACCAGCCAAACCTCGGTGGACAGCACCACCGGCATCGGAGCAACTGGCCAGGGAGCAACTGGCCAGGGACAAGGGACCACGGGCACCTACGAAGATGTGTTCTTGACTCAACAAAAGATACGCTACCCCTACATGCACGGATTTTTGGCCCTCACCCTATCTTTTGGCCTCGTGGTGGCCATGTATTTGACTACGACACCCAGACAGCACTACTGACCCAGGCAGCACTACTGACCCAGGCAGCACTACTGACCCAGGCAGCACCACTGACCCAGGCAGTAGTATTGACCTAAGCCTTGGTATCGACTTAGCAGTAGTATTGACGTACTGTAAAGGCTTGGCTGTTCTTATTTCACACGTGGCTAACAATGAGGACTCCAGCCGATCCACATTCTGAGGAGGAGGTCCGGATCAGTGGCCATGTTCGCTAGCTGATTGGCGGGCGAGAGTTTGGCTAAGGCGGCGCGATTTCTTTTGAGGTATGCAGAGTAGACCCCGGTGGTCTTCAGTGTCTGTTGAACACTGGGCCATCTGCTATTTCGAAGTCGGTCTTCCCAAATGTCCAAAATTTGCTGGGGTCTGTTGATGGCAGCCAGTCTGTCCCGAACACCTTTGAGTATTTCGTTTTCATGGTCAGTGGTATCCCCGACAACCACCTTTTCCATCAGAACGGAGCGAGGGTTCTGGTCGATAAAAGTGCCACCTTTGTCCACATACTTTGGCACCTTTTGTGTGCTCGATATAGTTGCATGTCCATTTTGTAGCAACCCATCTTGTAGCAATCCATCTGGCGGCGGTTGGCTACCTTCATCTCCTTGGGCGGTATCAAGAGGGGTTAACTGTGGTTTGCTGGCGTAGTGTTGAGGGATCAAGAACTTCAAGGTAGCCACAATCACATCTCCAATGGAGGCAATATGTTTTAGATCCTGGTCCAATGTTTTCCTGAAGACGTCCTCGTTCGCCGGCGGAACGTCTGTTCTCCTCGATGAGATATTATCCGTTAATTGGCAGGGTGAATATGCCAGTCTCAAGAACCTGGTATAACGAAACGGTACCACCTCTGGAATCGGGAGATCGCATTTCAAAGCGTACCCGAAATCAATGAGAAACGGAGTCCCATTCACGGCATTGATCATGATATTGTCGAGGTGACGATCCCCTACTTCCAATACCCAACAGCAGGCCGACATGAAGGCCAAATTTTTGATAAAGTTCTGGCGTAGTCTATGGTATTGTACGCAATCCCTGCTACGATTCAACAACCACTGATATATTGAGGCGCTATTTACAACTGAACATAATGCCTTCTCCTGTCCATTATCTTGTATATTCTCATCAAACAGACCCATGGGATCCATGGGATCCACGAAAGCAGAAACTTCGACATCGTCCCCTTCCCAGTCGCCTTCCCACTCACCCCCCATACGATCATTATCAACAACCGATTCTTTTGTTTTGGGAATTAATTTCGGACATTTGTGTGATGCGCTGTCATCGAACGTGTGTTCGATAGTTTTATGTAGATCTAAAATGGTGGAAGATTTTGAAGAGAGAGCGTATTTAATGTATAATTCATTGAAATTGAGCTTCCGTTGTTTTTTAGGGCCACTGGCGTTATTACCAATGCTTTCAAGAGTTGTAAGAATTATCCTATACGAGGGATGCTGGTTGGTCGCGCACCCAAATTGTTCTTCAACTATTCGTTTCAGGCCTGAGCAATTGGTTAACCATTCGATAGCGCCAATAGATAGGGAGAAAGGAGTTACGGCATATGTTGTGAACGGAATATGATCTTGTTGCAGTGATATAATGCGATCGATTAAAGAAAGTATAGTTCTATCCTGTCTTAGATCGTCACCAGTTTTAACTAATTGATATTTGATATTACCGTCAATCGTAACATGCCCGATCCTGATTGGTTTTTGTTTAGATGGTAGAACAATAATTCTATTTAGGTATCGATAAATATTAGAGTATGGGTTCAATTTATTGACAAGATACTCACTAAATAGATACAGATTTACATCAGTCGGGTTCGTTAATTTTAATTTGGTAGTTAACGCGCGTAATTCTTTCAAATTCGATGGAGTATTAAAATTCATAATATCATTTCTTGTCTTGTGCCATAATGTATTACCTTTATCCTCCCTCTGTTCCATTGATCCGATTCTAAAATAAGAATGAAATCTATGAATCAAATATGCCTCCGACATATCTTGTTGATTTAGACAGCTATCATTAATGTAAACAGATGGATATACAATATGACTTAATTCAGTATAATATAACCGATGCTTGCTTTTATCAGCTAGTCGTTGGAAATAGGCATGTAAGTCATTCCTGCTATATTTTAAGGAGACATCTGCAAATGTATTATATATAGGAAAATCGTCATGTTCGTCCAAAACTGACCGTATCAATGGCATATCATATTGGCATATCAGTTTGCATAAACCTTCAATTAATGTACTTGATAAGGGCTTACATATTGCCAGTACCTTACTAATAACTGCGGTGCGCACACGCGTGCTATTTGCGCGCATCCTGTTTGCATGCGTGCTATTTGCGAGCATGCTACTATTATACATCTGTAATAAGTGCAAGATCAATAGCTCACATTTATACTTCAGCTGACTGTAGTATGTCGACTCATTCGATAATCTCGCAAAACATGACTGCATCAAATTCACAAATATGGACAAAGTAGTGTCCATCAGCCCTTCATCATATCCTTCAGGGTACCCAGAAGTTGATAAGATTAAACATACAGCAGATTCCAACAAGGCTAGGTCTAAGTTCAGGTCTCCATCGTATACGTACTTGGACTCATCCATTCTTGCCACCGGTATTCTACATAATTCAGGTGAAAATATATCATCAGATTCCTCCATACCTATATAGCTATTAATCCCCTCTACAACTGAACCATGTATTAAAGCATTCCTATAATCTCCGACACTTCGGCAAATATTTGATGAAACGGGATTTTCAATTACTACTTCCACCGTTAAATCTTGTTGCCATGTCTCCGACCGTTTCTGCAGAACGTCTGACAGTAATTCTGGCCTATTCAATATGCTCGATTTAACTAACTCTGATTGTAAGAAGGTTAATTTCGTTTTTCCACACATTTCGAGCACGCTTTCAGACGTACTTTCTATGCATTGGCCCGTTCCGATGGCTATAGCGACATCAAGTAGCTTTCGGCGTACCAACTTATTGCTATCAGATCCATTACTGGGAAACGAATCGGTTGATCGTCGGGTAGTATGTTTGAATGGATAATCCACTTGGTTTAACATCAGCTCATTGTCACGAATCCACTTGTATATGATCGACTTGGGGTCAACGATCGACTTGGGGTCAATGATCGACTTGGGGTCAATGATCGACTTGGGGTCAACGATCGACTTGGGGTCAACGATCGACTTGGGGTCAATGATCGACTTGGGGTCAACGATCGACCTGGGGTCAGCGATCGACTTGGGGTCAACAATTGTATGCTTCAAGAAATTCAAATCACTCCCGAAGTCCACATCATTACGCTTGTACGACGTGATCAAATCTATCGGAGGCCCTCCCCAGATATTTAGTTTGGTACCAAGAGCTTCGATTATAGGTGGATCAAAAAGATTGCCGTCAAATGATACTTCGAACGTGTTAGCGACACTGAATGTAGACGGGCTGGTGTTAGACGTTATGTAAAGCTTTTCAAGAACTGACCAGACAGCAGGATTTTCGTTTGCTCGAGATGAAAGGATATTTTGCCACTTCACTAAAATGGGTAAATCCAATCTGAGCAGGATATCACAAGCTAAGTTGAGAAGGTCATCAAAATACGACTGGATGAATATATCCACTAACTGCATAACCAGATCCTCAGCCATGCTCCGCGTCATAGGCAACTCCGTACTCCCGTCCGATCCACCCGTCCCGCCAGGTCGTTTATCTCCAGTTCGTTTATCTCCGGTTCGTTTGCCGCGCACCTGCCGCGCATTTTTCCTGTCCGATTTGCTGCATGCTTCCACAATGACTGTCACCAAGTAGGTGTTGACCAAGTCGGGATCCACCAGTATTAGGGCATGGTTCTGTATTCGAAAGCGGTTGGCCAGCAACGTAAACAACATGCTGCTTGCCGATAAACTTTTCGCATACTTCCTCAACAGTGGCGTGTTCTCGAACAAACATAATTTCACTGCAGCTGATGACAGAAACGCCAATTGATACATAGCCATCGACTGTGTCGTCGCGGTTGGTAGCATCGTAGAGTGCTCTGGTATTGCAACGTCCGATTGTTCCGCAATAATTTTCCCGACCTCATCTAAAGCATATCCGTGAATTACCAGACTCTGAAATCCAACAACACTCCGCGTACTCCGGAAATACTCTAAACATAGTCCGTTGCATAACCCTTCCGTCACATTAGCAGTTGTTAATTCCCTTGAAAAACTCTTCGCCGAACTCATAACCAAGTTTTAATCCAGGGGAGGGGGCAACGGGATTTCTCGATTTGTCGCCAGCGCTGCCTGAGATCGGCCTCCATGGTGACCCACCCCCTTCGACTGGTACCCAAAAAACTTTACAGTGACACTTCCCGAGAAGGCCAAGGTGAAATCAATGCCCGGACCCAAGCTTTAAACACCAAGGTACTCATCGTCTCCCAGTCCAATCCATTCAGGTTCCAGGACCAAAGCTCAGCCCCCGAGATTTGACCTGGGACGTTGATACAAGCAGGAGCAGAGATCAAATCCGGCAAATGGATACACAACGAAGAACCCGGAAGTTCGCAAGGCTGCTCAGCCGCCCCTCCCTTGCCACTGCCCTGATAATCATTGCCCTGACTCCCATTGTCTAGACCCCCATTGTTGTAACCACCCTGGTGGGCTGGATTGAAGCAAGGCCTTTCATTTTTTCGTCTCAGGGCCTCGTGGTTCTCGATGAGCCATATGGCCAGCGTTCGGCCTCCAATGCAGCTATTTAAGATCTGTAAAGGTATCCCTGTAATACGGTTAACAGCAACCTTTCTAGCATGATCCATGTCGTCCAGCCATTTTTGCAGGGCGGGATTGTCATGGGTCGAAGTGAATAGAAGAGCAGACGTCGGTATTCTCAACTTAACGAATGCTTGCCTTGACGACGAGGGTATTGAGGTGGACGGGGGCATTGTTGTAGCGTCTCCTTTGTCCGTCGAAGGTCGCGCCTCTGACAGCGCAGTGGCATGTAACGCTTCTCTCGCAGTTTCGCGCATGGCTTCGTGAATAGCTTCGTCTAGTACGAATTGTAAAACAGACATGTTGGCAAAGGGGCATTCCTCTTTCAGTGTGTTGAAGAGTGTCGTTGCTTCCCCAAGGTCTTCGACTATGAATTTCGTGGAACAAATGTTTAGGTCTGTCAACATCCTGTAGAAGAACTGAGAGCCTGGCCCAGGTCTCCAACTGCCAGACCGCGAGGATTTGTCGCGTCTAGCTGCCGCTTCGGGGATCCCCCAGTAATCAGCGAATGCGCGATAATGATCTAAACGAATCATGTCGAAGAAATTGAGATTCCTCTTGATGCGTTCTTCCCAAAACCGAACAAGCTCACCATAGTGACTCTCCCAGTCATAACAAGGGGTTCCCCACAACTGACCTTCCTTCGACCAATAGTCCGGAGGCAGTCCTGAGACGTATTTGGGCCTCAACGCGCCGTCTCGTGCATCCATGTTGAACAACCGCGGGTACGACCATGTATCAGCGCTACTAGTCGGAACATAAATGGGAATGTCACCAACCAGCTTAGTCCTCTTGCCGCACCTTTTAGAGCTGCTGCCGAATCTTCGGCGCCATTCCTCGTCTATTTGCCATTGAGTAAATAATGAAAATAAGAACAATTCCTTCAGCGCCTGATTGTTCTTCAATAGCAGCACTCCCATTCCCACTCTTCTCTGGATACCCACTACATTCTCTTGTTCTTCACTCGACTGGTCTGAAGTCAAATTCAGTTCGCGACTTGCGGACCCCTTCGTCAGTTGTTGTATGTTTGCAAGCCGCTCAATATCCAACGCCTGATTTAAGACGTGGAGTAATAATTCGACCGAGTAAGGGCCAATTTGCCAGTCGTTCCAGTTCGCAGTATGTCGAGGCTGAAACCCTTCTTTCGATACAATTTCTTCCAGCGTGATCGTCGAATACTCATCAGATAAGGCCTCCCATAATCCATAGGATAATGCCCAATAAGCGTTTAGCGAAATCCACTGGCAAAAGTTTCTCGTGGCTTCATTCGGTGCATTTTCTTGATCGGCCGCAATCTTACAAACGCGTGTGTGCACACATTCTTGCGCATTAACTCCGGTTGTCGTCGTTGCGGCAGTCGCCACGCCTGTTGCGGCGCTATGGCCATCGTTAGGGACATTCATTTGAATATCCATTTGAGAGTCAGATAGCATGCTGATAACATGCTGAACAATTATATCGTGACTAAATGACTGGCTCTTATATTGCACAACGAGATGAATTAATTTCTTAATCCAAGTCATGCTCCAGAGTTCCAAGACTGACTCCTCTTGGTTTGAACCTCCCTCGGATTTAGAAGGTGATAGAGCATATTGAATCTGAAAATACTTATTTAAAGCATCTGCTCTATCGACAACGTTAGGATGATCATCAGGATCATCATCGTTGCATTTAAGTGGGTACCAGAGCGGACTCACAGCAAAGGCCGAGCACGAATAGTATGGGCAGCGCTCGAGTAAAATCTCTTGTCGATTAGAAATGTATCGGGTACAGAACTGTTCTAGTACAGTTTGAAGGTTATCCGAAATTACTAGATTTCTTCGGAGCAAATGTAATCTAGTATCAATTAAATGGGAGTTCAGTGGTAACAACAATAGTTCATTAAACCCACAATCCTCGCACCAGTCCCTAAACTTGGCAACACCATTAAAATCTCCTAGACGGTCATCATTGCAACATCCCAAGGACCATATAGGAGATGATATAGCAACCATCGGAAAATATGCAAAAATCTGTATTCTTCAAGGTTCGTCAAAAATCTATCTAAAAACTCAATTCCTGGGAGAAAGAAACCTCCCACAAAATAAATAGAGGAATTGTTACAGCCATAAGAATACTTACACCCGTAGAACTCGACTCCATCATTGCTAACTAAATCACTCCCACAGTAGCTAAATTCTTGGTGACAAACTTTAACTGGGGAATTCGCGCGTTCGCACAGCACGCGTGTGCGCAAGTTGTCAAACGGACGTAGATTGTCTGATTTGACATAGTTGTCAAAATTATAACTTTACATAATACTTCATACCATAGAGCTCTGAGTAATCTTCGTTTCCTCTGGACGATAAATCCCTGAAACATGATCGCCTACATCCAGACTTAATTGCTCGTGGTTTTGAATCTCAGCCGCTTCACTTTTAGTGTCGAGCGCCAGGTAGATATCACCCGCCCGGTCGTTGTTTTCGAATTCATCGCTGGGTTTGATGAATAGAGCACAAAGCCAGACTACGCAGGCGCAGCCTAGAGCAATATACTCAAGGATAGACATAGAATTTTGGTAGGCTTTGTTTATGGCGATTCTTTCTACGGAGCCCTTGGGAAAGCTCAGGGCGTAGGTCATGTCCTCGCTGATGCGTGCTACGTCAAAATCGCTCGGCAGATAACGGCGTAAATACATAGGCAAGACGGCAGTCCAAACGCATCCTCCTATAGTTGTGCCTACTGATCCTCCAAGCATCGTAGAGCACAACACGACGGAGGTCACGGCCGCAACTTCCTGGTGACTGACGACGCTTTGCACAGCAGCTTGGACCGGAGTGGTCAAGAACCCGGCGCCAACGGAGATGACTCCAAAAGCAAAGAGCATCACCATGAAACTTGCACCGTCTTTAGCGCAGGCTACGGCAAGCCAAATGATGCCACCCAAGTAAATGGTGGTCCCAGTTAGCACGGAGACTCGGAGGGTGGTGGTGGTTTCCCACTTCTTCCAGAACCGGATGATGAGCCCAGCAATGATACCTGTCGTGGTCGACGCTACGTTGAAGATGTTACCAGCATACCCAGCCTGGGAAATCGTCGCGAACTGAACTACTTGGAAGTACGACGTAAGGTAGATATCGAAACAGTAAAACGCCATGAAGTAGAAGAACACTGTCGCGCAACCCGCTAGCACTGTAGGTGACCGAAGCATCCGGATAGAGACGGTAGGGTACTTCGCAAACTTCACGTCGTACAACCCGAAGAGCGCCAGTAACACTGCGCCACACACGATCTCCGAAATAAACTGAGCCGACTTAAAGTACGTCGGGTCCGTAGAAGACAGCGTAAGCGGTACCAACAACAAAATAAGTGCACCCGCAAACATCACCGTTCCAATACTATCCATCTGTTCTAGGTAATACCAAACTTTCTCGTACCATGTCATGCCATGAGTCGAGTTGCTCATCGCACTCTCGTCACTTATCGTGCTCCTCACTCTCGTACTCTCAGTGTCTCTGACGTCAGTGTCTCTGACGTCAGTGTCTCTGACGTCAGTGTCTCTGACGTCAGTGTCATGGACTGCAACATCGTTATCAATGACTTGCTCGTTTCTTCTTGACTTCTGCCCACATTTGTACCTCAGTAATAGCAGCACGCCGCAGAGGGGACTTGCCGCAACGGGGAGTATGGCAGCCCACATGGCAATGCCGAGTCTCCATGTGGAGCCTGAGCCTCTCTTCAAAATCGCTTCGGCTAAGGGAGGCCCTATCCAGCCACTCACAAGGTAGGGCGTAGAGGGCACAACAGATAGCAAAACACGGTTGGCCAGCCCAGTGATATCGGCAATGATGAGCTGTATGATGATTAGGCACGATGTCTGACCCGCCACGTAGAACAGCTGTGCTGCTGTGTAGGTTCCGATGGAGTGCGTCACGGAAATCACGATGTATCCAATCACATAGAACACGACCGCAATGAACAGCGCTTCCGTTCTCCCCACGACATCGCAGACCTTTGCAGCAAGCGGCTTCAAAGCTGTACTCATTACGTTCAACGTTACTTGCACCGTCGACATCATCGAGTGCGCACTGAAGGCAGAAGTGATGTACGGCAACAGTGAGTACGTCGTGCTCGACTCCACGGCTGTGCACATGGCCATAAGGAAGATCCCCACATATACCAAAAGCAATGTCTGAGGCGTGAGGTACATGGCTAGGCGCTTCGCCTTCATAACGCCCTTCTGTAACTTGACGCCGTGCTCAACCTTGCTCCCAACACCTCCTGGCATTTTCCCACTGAAAAATAGCAGGAAGAAATATCTCAGCACGAAAGACCACGTGTGCGCACACACACCCATTCGTGTCCGTCGATGTGTAGTCCATCGCATGCACTAAACTCGTAATCAGCTGAAGCAGTGACCGCCAACCGGTTCGGACCAGCAGGACCGATACGGATATGGGCAATGAGGCTGATGACGTTTTTGTTGCGTCTTGTATCGGGGAGATAAAAATGTGTGAGGGGCATGTTCTACAATTACCTCATCAAAGCGTTTTTGAGTGACCAGTCACTGTTCAGTGATGTGAAGGCAATCGTGGATTGCCCATTGAAGTGCGACCCGGCAGAAGTTATTCGAGCTTGCCGAGACAAAGTTCCTCCCCGGGAGATAATGGCTTTATTGCATACTCCCGGAGCTGACTTGACGTTCCCCGTGCTTACGATCCCTGAGTCATTGCGCTATGGCCGAAACCGCTTCCTTGAGCGTCTCACAGACGCCAAGTCGGTGGCGAGGCGTCGTCCCAGACGCACGACTATAGGGTACTCTTCCGGTTCGGAAGAGGTATTGAAGAACATGGGACGTCGCAACAGTCTGTACAGCAGCAAGCCCGTAGACATGGCTCAGCTCCTGGACATGGCTTCGGACACGGCGGAAGCCATTGAGCGAGAAGGGAACAAGAGACTGCAGGCTCTGCAGGCGGAGGACAGCAAGGAGGTGGTAGCTTACGGAGAGGAGGATGTCGTGACTAAGAAAGCAGACGACCCAACTCGTGAACGAATGTTGAAGCAGTACTATGCGAGACTGCAAGTCCTCGGCACTTCCCTCATTCAGATTTGGACACGGTTCTACCGCCAGGTCTCTCCTACCTGGGCCCAAGACCGCAACTCCCTGATTCCACTGCCCAAGCCCTTCATCGTGCCCGGCGGCCGATTCATTGAAATTTACTACTGGGACAGTTACTGGATTATCCGAGGGCTGCTCTCCAGCGGGCTCATTGATGTAGCCAGAGACGCAATCGAGAACTTCCTCTACATGGTCGAGCGTTTCGGGTTCATTCCCAACGGCAGTCGCAAGTACTACCAAGACCGCTCACAGCCCCCCTTCCTTTCGACCATGATCCGAGCCTACTGGAACTCCACCGGCGACAAGGAGTTCATTGCGAACGCGTTCCCGCTGCTGGACAAAGAGTACCAGTTCTGGATGAACGAAAGACTGGGACACGCCGTTAACCTCCAAATGCCGGATCCCGCCAATCCATCGAAAACCACACACTGCGTCTTGAACCGTTTCTACTCCCTGGAAGTCACACCCAGACCAGAGTCATATCGCATTGACGAAATCACCGGGCGCCTGTACCTCGAATACAAGGGGGCTGCAGAGTCTCTCGAAGAACATTACCGTGCTGTCCGCGCCGGGGCAGAGTCTGGATGGGACTTTTCAAGTCGCTGGTTGAGACCGGCGATTGAAGGCTTGGGCGAGAGCGGTATCCGCCCGGACCACCGCATTGACCAAGAGCTACACAAGCTCTGTCTCATTGACATTGACACCTGCAACGTAATTCCCTGCGACTTGAACGGAATCTTGTTCGCCATGGAAAACGACCTAAGCTTCTTCGCCGAGCTTCTCGGACACCACGTACAAGCCCAAGCATATCAGGCCGCAGCCGCAAAGAGAAGGGCTGCCATGCTCCACTTCAACTGGGACCCGGAACAAGAACGCTGGATGGACTACGACATGAAGACCCAACGACTCAGCAAAGTCATCTCCGCTGCCTCCTTCATTCCCCTCTGGGCCGATGTGAACCCCGAACCCATGGACGATAAACGACGCATGCAATTAGCATCCAACCTCTCACCCATCATCAGACCCTACGGCATCGTCTCCACCCACGTCCGAGCCGGTCTCCAATGGGATTCGCCAAACGTCTGGGCCTGCAGCCATCATATTGCCGTTGACTTCATGTGCGGTGGACGCTTCTGGGAAACCACAAAGAAGGCGGAAGACGATAACGGCCCAGCCATGCAACTAGGCATCAACTGGGCCAGCCGCTTCGTTAACACCGTCCTCGATCGGTTCGAGTTCAGAGGTACCTGTTCTGAGAAATATCACTGCTACCGCCCGGGCAAGAGCGGGATGGACGGCGAATACGTCACTCAAGAAGGCTTCGGCTGGACAAATGGTGCTGTGCTAGACTTCCTTGAAAAATTTGGAACCAGACTCTCTCCCCAAGGGCTCTATGCCGCACCGAGACCGTACTAAAGCCATCGTACTAAACCAAGCTCACCCTCCCCAGGGAATCTTTGCCGCACCGAGACCATACCAAGTCCACCACACTAAATCAGGCTCACCCCGTGGGGCTCGATGTCGCGTCAAAACCGTATTCGGCCCGCCATGCTGGTCCTAAATCACTTTTTGCAAGGTTATACTCGCAAACCACTGTCCTTCAGAGCCGACAGAGTCGGGGCTTTGCTCTTGCTCAGTCGATGCTCTGTGAACTAAACAAACACGTCAACCTTTGTTCGCGATTCTTACCAAAAGACTCAAATCTTCCTTCAATGCGTCGCGCTGCTCGCTCAACGCTATCAGTTTCAGTCTGCTGTCTCCACGGCGGACCGGTAAGGAAAAAGGCGCTTGATGGGGTCTGATATCGGCTTCATGGCAAAACGATGCTATTTTACGCTGAAAATGTTTGAATGGCCAAGAGAGGCGAACCCCCGTAGTTGTAGTCTTGGTTGAGCGCTAATCCTAACGTTAATAATTCCAAGACGATGATGATTTTCATTTAATGCCGTTGTCGCACACGTGTGCGCGCCGCTATAATTCAGGATTCCGGCGCTCCCTAAGCGCCTAAGTTAAGATGCATTCACTGGATAAGATCAATCCCCAAGCCGTGCGCTTGGCGAGGCCACATGGCATACATGTGGGAGAAATGGTCTTCAAGGAGAAGACCGTTCTTGGATCTGGCTACTCTGGCGAAGTTAAGCAAGTGGAAGATGAAGGAGGACATAATTATGCCTTGAAGATTTCCAATGACAAATCTATACGCTTCATACTAAACGACTCGCCCAGCGCAAACGGGAGAACGGGGGCGACGCTTCCGGAGGCGAGTGAGTTTGAAAGGCTCAGGAAATTATATCACGCGGGCGTTCCTGTTCCCAGACCATACGGTTTTCAAATATATGCTAATGCGGATGGTATTGGGACAACTTCACTGCTGATGGACCTTGTGGATGGACCCACTTTGAGGGACTGGCTGAGTGCCCAACAAGGGGGAGTCACTGACAAAATTTCGGGGCGGTCGCAGCACCCGGTTATGACGTACCCGGATGCCTTGGCTCGAATCGACGTGGCAATTGCTGTGGTGGCGAGTCTCGTTAAGCTGAGGCCCTGGGGTTTGTTTGCTGATTTCAAGCCTCGAAATGTGATGATACGAGAGCAAAAAATGGACAAATCGAGGTACTTTTCTGCGTCGCTCGTGGACATTGGGGGGGTGGTTATGTATCAGGACGTGTCCACAAATTCGCACTACCGTCGGCCCGAGTCGTTAGATGAGGACCAATCGGTCATATTCTTCCATCCCATCAAAGACCGGTATCTGATTGAGACGACTTGTTCATACTTGTCTCCGGAAATGGCAATTTTGATCTCAGAGTACGACTACTGGCGAGGCCGATTGCACAACCACTTCTTTTCCACGCAAGTCGAGGACAATGTGACCGCGGCGGAGCAGGAGGTGGCTGCTCGAATCTACGGCGAAAGTCAAAAGAAGATTGGGCGGCAAGGTCGGAACGACCAGGTGGATCCGCGGGCGGTGCACAACTACCTTACTGCGCGGCGCCGGTTCAGTGCCGTGAACGTGTTGGGTCGTTTCTTTGCGATTCCGCAGTTGAACGGTGGCGCGTCCGCGACCGCAGTGTCTGCGCTGGACAACAACAGTGGCGTGCCGCTGCATTCGGACATTGTGGCGGTCTCGGAGAAGTCGACGGTGTTCACGATGGGGTTAGTGTTGACTGAGTTGTTTGGGGGCAAGCGCACCGGCCTGACGTCGTTGACGCGTTTGCGGGCGGTGAACGATATCTTCAGCTCGGAGCACCACAACGCGGAGTTCCGGATCGTGATGGAGTGGGAGGCGCGAAATGCGACCCTCGGTGCGCTGATCGGGTCTGCGGTGTCGACGCGTTGTCCGAACAGCAACGAGACGGACGGCCGGTCGGCGGTAACGCACAAGGCGCCTACACCCGAGCACACGGACATCAGTTGCGACTGTTATTTCGACTTGTACCGGCGATATGCCTACCCGTCTGAGGGCATCCTGCGCGTCCCGGACCCGCACGACCTCCACACCGGCATGGCGCCGCCCTATGACGTCGACTGCGCCGTCCGCGTCAAACGCCTCTTGGACTCCTGCCTCCGTTTCAGTCCCGGCCTCCGCCCCTCCCTCAACAATCTGCTCGAGGAACTCACTGGTCTCAAACGTTACATCTGCTCCAAGGGGGTCGTCCAACCTAAACCGAACCGGTTGACACCTAGCACTAGCATCGGGAGTCGGGCAGCCTCATCACTGAGGTGACCTGTGCGCCAAGCCGCTTCATGGTGGTCTAACCTTCCCGGAGTGGTCAAGGACGCCTTGTCTAAAGACGTCTGGATATAGGACGTCTTGCTTAGCATGTCTTGATTAAGGTAACGCTTCTTCTTTCAAGTCAGAACTACTTTTTGAATGTGCTCGAGGTCCTGGCGTGGATGCTCGAGATGTTGATCTGGCGGGAGTGAATTGGACTCTGCTGGTAGCGGCCTGGCTCAGTTGCGGCTCGGGTTTGATTTTGATCTCCGATTTCACGGCCTGCAACTTGGTCTGTAGGAGCGGGCGGCTTGCTGATTCAGGTTTATTGGATGAGGGGGTGCTGATCTTGGAAGGAGCGCTTTTTGGTGGAGTTCTGTTCGGGGATCTGGTGGGGGTTCTGGCGCGAGTGTGGTGGCGATTGGTTCCTCTGTTAGGTTCAGATATGTTGGAGTCAGATTTGACGGCGGGTTCAGATTTAATTGGTTTGTCGTCGTCATCGTCGTCTGGGGCATCGTCGTCGACAAGGTCGTCGGCCTCCAAATCTGCTGATTCGTCGTCTGAGTCGGTGGATCCGTCACAGTGAAGGTGTTCTCCGGAGAGGTCTCGGAGTTCGGGAAGATCGTTGAGTAGGATGTCGACTGTGCTGGGGGCATGTTCCTCCAGTGTATCGACGACCTCGAGAAGGTGTGGTGTGAGGTAGGCGGTGAGCGAGAAGAAGTGTAGGTAGTCTGTATCGAAGCAGGTGCGGAGGGCTTTGTCGCAGGCGATGACATGGCCATCATTTAGGTCGTGGTCTTTGATATATTTCCAGATGAGTTTAATAGCTTGGGATCGGGAGAGGGCGGTTTTGTCGAGTAGCTGGCTGAGCATAGGAGAGAGTCTGTAGACTCTCATAAGGTTGGCGGTATTGCCAGCTCGTCTGCCTTTTTTCCTTCGTTTGGGTCGTTTCGACCTGCCAGAAGATGTGGAGCGCTTGCCCGTTTTGGGTCGTGTGGTCGCTCGCGGGGTCTGTGCCCTGACCGTCTTGGACTTGATAGTGGTGGTCTTGATCTTGGTGGGTGTCTTGATAGTCCTGGATGTAGGCTTGGATGTAGGCTTGGATGTAGGGGGTGTGTTTTTCCTCTTGGGGGTCATTATTTTTTTAATGGAGAAGATTGGTAGTTACACAGAGAACATTGATGAGTATTTGTCATTCGAGAGACAGGCGGAGTACGTGGTGGAGGCTCAGCGGGCTCGCGAGGACCCGGTGTTAGCGGCTACGTTGTTCAAAAAGCGGATCGCATTCGGGACGGCGGGTTTGCGGGGTCCGATGCGTGCGGGAATCAGTGGCATGAATGTGGGCACAGTGTGGCGTGCGACGCAGGGGTTGTGTGAATACTTTATGGACAAGTTTGGATTAGAAGAATGTCGCTCACGTGGCGCTGTAATTGGCTTCGATGGGAGACACAATTCGGAGTACTTGGCTTCAGTAGCGGCCGCAGTGTTCTTGAGTCGCGAAATCCCGGTGTTCTTTGCCGACGAGGTCACGGCGACGCCGGTGACTCCATATGTGGTGGTGAAGGCGAAGGCGGTGTGCGGTGTTCAGGTCACGGCTTCACACAACCCCAAGGAAGACAACGGTTACAAAGTCTATGCCGACAATGGGGCCCAAATAATCCCGCCGATGGACCGTGACATCGCAAGTCTTATAGAACAGAACAAGGCACCGTGGCCAGAGGTAGAAGGCATAGTCGACCACCACCTGCGTCGTCTGAACCCGCTGCATCCACGACGTTCATTGGCACGCATGGAGCTGCCCCAATACTGGGCTCAGTTCAAGGCTGACGCGACCGCTGCACTCAAGATGGAGCCTGGCGAATTCGCAAAATCCTCTCTCAAGGTTGTCTACACCGCCATGCACGGTGTTGGCTACCGTTTCGTTCGCGACCTACTGGTTGACACTCTCGGATTCCCAGCCACCCAGTTCGAACCCGTCCCCGGCCAAATGCACCCGGACCCCGAATTCCCCACCGTCCGATTCCCCAACCCCGAGGAAGCCGGAGCACTGGACCTAGCCAAGGCCCACGCTCGGGCAACTGGCGCAGACCTCATCATCGCTAACGACCCCGATGCTGACCGATTTGCGGCCGTCGAGGTTTGCAGTGATGGCTCCTTCAGAACTTTTACTGGAGACGAACTTGGCGTCATGCTCGGCATCATTTGCTACGAGAACCTCACCGGCCAGACCGTCAGTCTCCCTAATGGTGACTCTGCCTCCACTGCGGACTTGTCGTTTGTGTGTTCAGCGGTGAGCAGCAAGTTCTTTGAGCGTTTCGCTGCGCGCCAGAAGGGCGTGGTGTACCGCGAGACTTTGACTGGGTTCAAATGGATGGTGAACGTGGCGTTGGCAATGGCGCGCGAGGGCGTTAGGCCGTGCTTCTGTTATGAGGAGGCGTTGGGTTACGGCTTGTGCGTGGAAGCTATACCGGACAAGTGTGGACTGACGGCGGCTGCGGCGATGACGAAGAAGGCTTCGCAACTGAAGGCCACCGGCCAGACGCTCTCACAATGGTTGGAGGGGCTCATGTGCGCCGCTGGCGGATATTTCGCCACTGACAATTCCTACTTCCGGGCATCTGACCCCGCGATCACCAAGGCCATTGTCGGTGCCTTTCGGGACAAGCACTACGGCCGTGGAGCCGACGGGAGCCACCAGGTAGCTGGCTACAAGGTAATACGCGTCCGCGACTTGGGCGTCAACTACGACTCCAGCACCGCCGAGCACACGTGTGTGCTGCCCGCCGGCGATGACATGCTCACTCTGGAGTTCGCCAACGGCGCACGCCTCACACTACGCGGCTCCGGCACCGAACCGAAACTCAAATACTACTCCGAAATGACCAGCCAGACCAGCATACAAGATGCCAAGGAACAACTGGGACGGTGCGTCCGGGCCGTCCTCAAAGAAATTCTGCACCCCTACAAACTGGAACATGCCATCGACCCCCAATTCACCGACTAATCGGCCCCCCTTCCTTCACTAACCCGCCCATCACCCCGCCCAACACCCCGCCGGTTGTGGCGGCCTTTGCTATTTTTTTCAATGAAAAACGCACAACTATTGACGTGTGCGGAAACCCTCCAACTCCTCAAGCAGAGTCCGTACAGCAAGCACCTTGACCCCTCGGTTAACGACAAGAACATGCTGCGGACCGTCGCCGCCACCCAAGCCAACAGTGAGACAGACCACGTACCATCCCTAGACCACCATGTTTGTGACTGCAGTCGGGTACCTGAGCCTGTACCAAGGCGTGTGTGCGAATGGCGAACAAATGGCGCATCGGCTGGTTGAACAGTTTCCTTCGTTAACTCAGTTCGACGTCATGCAGATAATCAACATTGCGCCGACCACCGTGGTGCACTTGTATTCCGTGATTGACCGTTGCAGCGAACGCTACACCGAGGACGACTTGAACACGATGCTGGCTCTCATCAGTGACGCGTTCGGCAACGATGGCAACGCCCTTGTCGGCGATCCGCTTGTCAACAACGAAAACAGTTTGCGGGGCGACGCCTGACAGGAACAGGGTGGAAGACAGAGTGTGAGGTCGAACGTGAGATACAGATGAGAGGGCCAGATGCCGACCAATATAACAGGAGGGTGACAGGTTGGGGGTCACATTGCGGGGTCAGGGCTTTAGGCCAGACTTTCAGACTCGTGTCTACTAACTATAAAAAAGTGCCTCTAGGCGGTAGTGGTGGGTTCCGCAGTGGCAGCAGGTTTGGAAGCGGTGAGGGCGCTGGGTGCAGCGGAAGCGGTGGCGGTGGCTTCGGCGGAAGCGGAAGCGGAGGCGGAGGCGGAAGCGGAGGCCGAAGCGGAGCCTGACGTGCCGGGGACGGCGGAAGGTTGTTGTTGTCCGCGCTTGAGCTGGCCAACCTTGTATGCGACAGCCTGAACGTCCCTAAGTTTGAAATAGAAGGGAAGAGCGGTGATAGTGTTAACGTGGCGGATTGTGTCTTCGCGAGTGGGGTTCTCGATAGCCTCCTGAATGACGGCTGCGCTGTCTTCCAGCGCCTTATCTAGCTCCTTCTGTAGCTTCTCTATCTGCTCCTCGTTCGCCAGGTCGATCGCGCCCTGCGCCGTCACCGCATCCTCCATCTTCTTCCCAGTTGACTCCGTCAACTCCTTCAGCTTGGTGTTCTCAGGGGGGGCCAAGTACGCCTCCACCGCCGCCTGCATCTTCACCTGTGTCTTCATCAAAAAGTCCTCAGCCTCAGCCAGACACGCCTCCAGAGCAGGGTCCGCCGCAGGGGCCACCGGGGCCGCCGAAGCCACATCAACAGCCGAACCCAACAAAGCGACAATGTCCAGGGACGCGCAGGACTTCTTGCTCACAACTCCACGTGCCATTCTTCGAAATTTTTTTAAATTTTTTTCCACGCCGGAATTTCAAGACCGACAGTTTCGAACCGGCCACGCCCTCGAACCTCAGACTCATCAGCCTTCAGTGGGCTCACCTCATGAGTCGACGATGTGCCAAACCTGCAGGGATGTTAATTATTACCCTGTAATTACCCCGTCCTATTGCAGCGTGCATCACCCTCTGTTGCGTCATCCTTGTGCTGCATTATCGGAGCAGCGCTGCATCCTCTCCTCACCTTCTTAATTGATCAGTTTTACCTTCGAGTGCGCGATCCGCCAACCCCATGAGGCCGGCACCAGACTTTCGCAGCCCCACCAGGTCTCCGCAGCGTCAAGTGCAGTCATTCTGACCCCGGCCCCCGACTTGGTTTCAATTCAGATTTCTTAATTGACCGGCCCTGAGTTTGATTGGCTCTCAGTTCGCCTACTCTCATCTCCGACTACCATGACCTGTGGCTAGCATCGCCTGTGGCTAGCATGGCCTGTGGCTAGCATGGCCTGTGACTAGCATGACCTCCGACTAGCATGTGACTGGCAAGACCTCCGACTGACATGACCTCCGACTAAATTTGCTTTGCATTGGTGGGGCAGCAACGCGGTCAGCGGGCAGGTGGTTCCTCGGCGAAATTGCTTGGCGTACGTCTCCAGGGAACTTGGCGTTTAGTGAAACGTTTTTGGGTTCACTTTAAGATCCAGAAACAGGTCTGTATTTTTAGGGGATCGTTTATCTGTTGAGCGAGTATCGGTGAAGGGAACAGATGAAGACTATTTTGTCGAGGAGAAGTCGGCCGTGTCTGGCACCTTACTTGTTGCCTCATGATCGCGCGACGTGTATGCAGCCGCGTTTTGCGGGAGGGCTGTCGTGGGAGTGTCCTCTGGCTTCGAGTACGCATCAATTTGACGGGGAACGTCGAGCTAACGGGAAACGTCGAGCTAACGGGGAGCGTCGAGCTAACGGGGAACGTCGAGCTAACGGGGAACGTCGAGTGTATGCTGGTCTAGGTAGTACTTTGACTAATTTCGCGGAGGGTGTGATAGAGAGTGACGCGGTTGCAAACAAAAAGTTGCACGAGTTGTTGTCTGCGGAGGAGTGGGGAAGGGTGAAGAGTATAACGAGAAAAGACTTGGAGAATTGTCAGCTGGCTTACTTGGAGCTTGGAGCCATCATCTCGATGTTTCTAGACGACCCATTCGGAGATGTGACGTTGGAGACGAAGGCGTGGCTAAGTCCGATGTTAGGGATGGAGAAGGGAGCGGTAGCCTGGAGACATTGCGATAGTAACTGGGTAACGGGCTGTCTTCTGCAGCGTTCCGCCGTCCCGACGGATAAGCTGGTCAACTTTTGTGTGGACACGCTGCGGTATGTGCCAGCTGTTTCCAGCAAGCTAATCCCTGAGTTTGCGAAGCCGATGGCCCGGCTCGGTGAGTACAGGAACCGAATGTGGTTGAGGGGGGCGTCACTGAGCGGAGCGAGGCAAGCACTCCTACGGCGCGTAGCAGATTTGTCGGCCTCCATCACGGCCGACGCGTTTGGAAAGCTTGTGTTCTCCGCGTGCACACACAAAAAACGTTTCTTCTCTTGTCATCGTCAGCGGCAGCCGCGTCCAGCGCCTCGTTCATACCTAAAGCAACTTCTTAGGCCACAGCCATGGGTGGACGCACAGGACTATTTTATTGAAAGTTTACAGGCGCACCGGTGCTTACTTCACGCCGTTTGCCAAAGCGGCGGACCGTAAGGCTCCTTTATTTCCGGAGAACGATGCGGCAATGAAATTATCCATGCTACTCAAGAGTGATTGGGCACGACTGAACGAAATGGACGACGAGGATGTAGAGACATGTAGCTTGGCCTATTACGAGCTGGGCACTATTGTGGAAAAGTATATACACGGTGCCTTTGGAACTGTATGTTTCCGTGCTTTAGATCAAGTGGCTCGAGCAATGCGTCTTGGAGAACGATCGCTGTTAGTTCGGGGCTGGATTGCGGGATGCATCCTACAACACGCGAAGGTGCCTATTCCCATTCTCGCCCAGTTCTGCATCGATGACCTGAATTACGAACCACCGTACTGCTGGAGTCTGGAGTGTCTGAAAGCTACGACTAAATCTTGGCTCAAACGCATCGGCAGCCAAATCGAAGCACAATACCAAAAGCGATGGAGCAGCCACACCGATCTAACTGCTCGTTTGTCAGCATTGAATAAGAGATTGTCAATCCCTCAATATATCGCTCTTAAATCTGACGGGAGAAACTTCTGTCTGAAACACTGCACTCTGCCGAGCACTACTGAAGTGCCCATCGTATCACAGGCCACGAGAAGTACAAAGGGGACACGAATTCCAAAGGCGAAGCGAACCCTAGAGGTTGAAGAAGAAAACCTATCTTGCAAGAGGAAAAAAAAGTCATCCACACATGTGGCTTCGGCCATGGTGACCTCGACGACGGAAGAAAACGAATTGATGTATTGCCACCCCAATGATCTGATCGAATTCCTGCACTGGGTTGAATCAGGAATGTACAATCATTCCACCCCCTAACACCCTCTTTAACACTCGTTCGGTTGGCCCCTTATCCGTGGCTTTCATTAAGCCGTTTTTAAACGTGCTCAATATCGGAATAAATTCTTGGGAAATATTTGGGTTGGGGGTGTCAAATTCGATCATGCAGATTTATCAATTACAGAACACTCACTCACAGGTTCCACCACATGGCACTCCTCAGCTTCGAATGGCAGAAGTTCCTCCAGAAGCGGTCGAATCGTTGACTAAATAGCTACTACCGCAAGAACTAGTCCACTCTATCACAAGCAGAACATGGCCATCGTACCGCTGGATCATCCATTCTAGACTTCAATACCAGCGACTTCAATACGAGCCCTTCAATCCAGCTTCAAATAAAGTCAAGCGACCACGGTATCCGTCTCAGAAGGAACTGAAAAGTTTTGCCAGCCAATGAGACCAGAACGCGAGGCGGTTGACACCTTCATGGTGGCCCCTCTCCATCATGGACCCCGTAAGAAACTGCCACAAAGGCCTGCAACGAAATTCGTTCTCCTGTTTGAACCACCGTGTTGAGTTGGTGACCATACCCTCTGATTCCCCACAAGGTCCTCTTGGAAAACAGATAGTTTCCGTAAACGTGGGTCGTTTCGCGGGCGCCTACTCCCGAGTTCGATGCCTAGCGATGGCAACCATGTTCCGTATCGGGGGTTTAGTTCTCTATCTCTATTCGGTTTTGTGACCGTTTATTAACTGAGCCCCGGAGATATGAAGACGACTGCATCCTTGACTTCATGGAGAACTCTGCCTGCTGTTGCCCCATTGACATGCATGTTACCTCATGTGAATTGCGAAAGCACGAGCCCGTGGCTTGCGGGGGGAATTACCTTGGGGAGCGAACCTGATTCGGATACGCATCAAGTCCGTACGGAATTAGTGTATGTTGACACGCATAGCGACTTGACGAGTTTTGCGGATGGTGTGATAGAGAGTGACGCGGTTGCAAATAAGATGTTGCACGAGTTATTGTCTGCGATGGAGTGGAGAAGGGTGAAGAGTATAACGAGAGAAGACTTGGAGAATTGTCAGCTGGCTTACTTGGAGCTCGGAGCCATCATTTCGATGTTTCTAGACGATCCATTCGGAGATGTGACATTGGAGACGAAGGCGTGGCTGAGTCCGATGTTAGGGATCCAGAAGGGAGCAGTAGCCTGGAGACATTGCGATAGTAACTGGGTAACGGGCTGTCTTCTACAGCGCTCCACCGTCCCGACGAGGAAGCTGGTCAACTTTTGTGTGCACACGCTGCACTACATGCCAGTGGTGAGGAACGTAACTCTTGAGTGTTTGAAAAAAAGACCGCGGTTCCGCGACTATAGGATACGAGCGCCGGTGGCTAATGCTGGTAAAGTATTGCTAGAAATCACGCAACGTTTGTCGGGCTCCTTCACAGTTGTGGAGTTCGGTCAACTAATGGCTGCAGCGGCGTCTTCAAGAAAAGGTTTTCTTGACCCGTTGGACTCCCGCTTACTGCCTAATGGGGAACCGGTGGATGAAACCTCCCTCCCGATAATTTATCGACGCGATGAACTCCGCCTTACTAAATGTGGAAAGGCCAGAGCCAGGCTCCTTTCGGAAAGCGATGCGAAAGCAAAGACCTGGAACCTCCTGGGCGGGAATTTGACTAAACTGAACGGAATGGGGCCTGAGGATTTAAAGTCATGTAGCTTGGCCTATTTTGAGCTGGGCAGCATTGCAGAGCAGTATATACACGGTGCCTTTGGAACTGTATGTTTGCCAGCGCTACGACAGGTGTCAGGTGTCATGTGTCGTGGGTCCGGTACAGTGCAGGTTCGGGGTTGGGTTGCGGGATGCATATTACAGTATGCGAGAGTGCCCATTTCCGCCCTAGTTAGGTTCTGCGTGCTCGACCTGAATTACGAACCGCCAAAAGGACCTCTACTAGAGTGTTTAAGATCCCAAACGGACCGCTACAGAGCCAGACGATTAAAACAAGAAAGTAACTACTTGACAGAACTAACTGCTCGTGTATCTGCCCTGACTGAGAAGATCTCAATTCCTGAATATGTCGCTCTGATAACAAATAAACAACGGGCCCTGAACTATGTTGTAAAGCGCCTGGCCCCTGTTGCCGCCCACGAGACCCATTCATCACCCCACCTGAGCGACTACTCACCCCAGCTGAGCGACTACTCACCCCAGCTGAGCGACTCACCACCTCAAACCGTACCGACTTTATCCACGAACTTGATCACGGCTACGAAGCGGACCACAGACAGAAATGAGCTTGAAAAGAGTAAGAGAAAGAAGCCGTCCGTAGATCTGGCCAGGTCAACTGTAGAAGGCGCTTCGGGATTGATGTATTGTCACCCTAATGATATGATCGAATTTCTGAACTGGGTGGAATCAGGAATGTACGAAAGTTCACCTCAGGCAGTATGCTCCTCTTAAGCAACAGAGCACGAAGGTTCGAAGCCACGCAGTTCCACACGGTCCCGAAGAATAGGCATTAAGGGAAGGTCATGCACATTTACGTACACCCATGTCTTCAGCAGTTTGCGCTGCTTCAAATTGATACCACACCTGATGTGCATCCATGTACATCAGGTGTGCTATCATAGCTCCTTGAACTCGTGAATTTGCCAACACTAATTGAGCCGGCAGCAATTCCAACTCGACTGACTCGCCAATTACACACCAAGTACATTAAGTTGCATTTTTAAAAGCACAATATAATGGTATTTAAAGCACAATATAAGATGCCACCGATAGTCAAATCGTTGCGCTCCTGTTTGATTATGGACGGGTGTCTGCATTGAACTTCTGTGTGGCTGAGGTGACTTGTTCGTGAGGTGTTGTTCATGTGGTATGTGGTGTTGTCCATGCTGTGTGGGTGTGGTGTTTAAAACAATTTGTCCACCAAACAATTTGTGGATCAATGTTTCAAGTGTGGTTAAGTTTCGATGTCGTCTTTTGCTTGGTTCTGAAAGACGATTTGAGGGCCAAATTTTACCCGGTGTGTTATTAAGTGTGTACTGAACGACATGAAGACGATTCCGTGCTCAGTTCCGAGAAGAACTCTGCCGAGTCTCATGCCTTGCTTGCTGCCTCGTTTGAATTATGGACGCTCGAATTGCTTCAGTCCATGTCTTGCGGGGGGGGTGGCCATGGGTTTCGAACCATGTTCGGATACGCATCGAGCCGAAGCTGTGTATGTTCGTAGCTACAGTACCTTGGCCAGTTTGGCGGAGGGTGTGGTGGAGAGTGCCCCGGTTGCAAACAAAAAGTTGCACGAATTGTTGTCTATGGAGGAGTGGAGAAGGGTGAAGAGTATAACGAGAGAAGACTTGGAGAATTGTCAGTTGGCTTACTTGGAGCTTGGAGCCATCATCTCCATGTTTCTGTCTGACCCCTTTGGAGATGTGACGTTGGAGACGAAGGCGTGGCTAGGTCCGATACTGGGGAATCAGAAGGTGACGCTATCGGGGAGCCAAAAGGGGCAGCTGTTGTGGAGACATTGCGACAGTAATTGGGTGACAGGTTGCTTTCTACAGCGTTCCGACGTCCCGACGGATAAGCTGGTCAACTTTTGTGTGGATACGCTGCACTATATGCCTGTGGTGAGAAACGTGATCCTGGAGTGTTTGAAACCCACACCACGGCCTCGGAACTACAGGAACCGAAAATCGGTAGCGGGTGCTCGGGAAATACTAATGCGTATCATGGCAGGGTTATCAACGTCCTCCCTTGGTGCCGAAAGATTTGGAAAACTGATAGTATCAACACCAGCGACCAAGAAAAGTTTCTTTCCTTCTATAGATGTTACGACCTTACCGTCAACGTCGCCCCGTTTATTCCTAGACAGACCCATCAGGTCTGTGTCATGGACAAAAGTTAAGGACGACAGTATGTCACGACACACAGTTTATAGACGCACTCAAGCCAGCTTCTCAAGGTATGCAAAATCTCAGGATCCAAAAACATCAGTGTTCCCACAAGACGACGTGGAACTAAAGTTAGACAATCTGCTTGATGGAGATTGGACAAGTCTGAATGGATTGAAGGGGGAGGATGTGTTGAAGTCTACTCTGGCCTATTTCGAGCTGGGGACAATTATAGAGAAATATATACTTGGTGCCTTTGGAAGTGTATGTTCTTCCATGTTGCAAAAGGTGGCCACAGCGATGCATGACGGACGTCGATCATTACCAGTTCGGGGGTGGATCGCAGGGTGTATATTACGCTATTCGAAAGTACCCATTTACAATCTAATCCAATTCTGTGTTCGTGACCTCAGTTATAAACCGCCCGAAAGACCGATTTTAGAATGTCTTAGATTCAAATCGAACACAACCTTCAGGACTATAGAAGATGGTAGGCATGAGGAGTATTGCGCGAGCATGATTGCTCGACTATCTGGCCTATCTGATATCGTATCAATCCCTGAATGGATCGCATTAACATCAGATAAAGAGCGGCTACTCAGATATATAGTCCAACAGACACTCCCGAGTTCTGAACCACCGAGTTCTGAACCACCGACCGTACCATCAAAAGAGGCGAAACGAACTACGCAAGCCAAACGGACTACGGAGACTGAAGAAGGGTGCCTTTCTTACAAGAGAAGAAAGCCATACGCACATGTGACTTCGACCACGGAAGAAGGCGGATTCATGTATTGCCATCCCAATGATCTGATCGAATTCCTGGACTGGGTTGAATCAGGAATGTGCGAACATCCAGCCAGAATGCCCTGCTCCTCGTGAGGCGAGCAACCCGGTTACAACGAGCACGTACGCGGCTGCTGGTATGGTCCTGTTTGCACCGTCCGCCCTGGTCGCATTTTCGGGCTGCGAAAAAGCACGCCAGACGTTGGCCAAACAACACCACGTTGGGCCAACGTCTCAGGAGTCTTTTTCGTTCTCCAGACGCGTGTTTTGTCTATGCACACACAAATAGTATGTGCGCATGTGGTTGGCTGTGCTATTCATTTTCGTATCTACCTCGGTGGTTTGTGGTCTCTCTCGACGTGTACGGGACAACGAACTTTTTTAACCGGGCTAAACCGGAAGCAAAAAACTTGATGAGGACTGCCGCTTGCTCGTCCAAAAAGCTCTCTCCGTTTTCTCTGTTACTCCAGACCGGTTCGGTTCAGACCGGTTCGGTTCAGACCAGTTCGGTTCAGACCAGTTCGGGTGACCCACGGTCGTCATTGAAGGCGTCGGTGTCGCCACTACGGCGCTTGTATGCGCCAATCGTACCATCTCACGAAGAAGACGGTTCGCGAGTTTACGTGAATGGCTCCATCATGTTGAACGACTTAGCCTTGGGTAAGCGCCTTTTCGCGGATGTGTACGCGGCTCGTGCGGCGGTGAATGGCTTGTTATCCATGGACGAGTGGCGAAAGTTGCAGCAGATAACCGAATTGGATTTAAGTGAATGCCAGCTTGTTTATGTCGAGTTGGCTGCGATCATTTCTATGTATATCAAGAACGCGTTCGGCGACATATCGAACGCGATTAAAACATTAATTCAGACGTCCATGGGTGCCGTAGCACCAACTATTCTGCAACACTGGGTTACCGGTTGCTTGCTCTATCGTTCTGGAATTTGCACACGGAAACTTTCGAACTTCTGTTTAGATATTTTAAAGCACGTGCCTGGCCAGCCGCTATGGTTACTGGAGTGTACCCGAAAGGTTGTCAAGAACAAAAAAGTGCGACAAAGAAAGCCTTTACCGCAGGGCAGGCCGCGGTTCCTCGCCTTCACCGAAGAACTGGCCGTCACGATAACTGCACCCAGCTTCGCGAAACTGGCCTGCGCCAGACCCGCTGTCATTGAGAACTACTGTCACGTCCGCAAAAACATTTCGAGTCCTGGCACCAATCCCCTTTCTTCTAGCACCAGCCCCCGTGGTTCTAACATCAAGCCCACTGGTTCTAACATCAAGCCCACTGGTTCTAACATCAAGCCCACTGGTTCTAACATCAAGCCCACTGGTTCTAACATCAAGCCCACTGGTTCTAACATCAAGCCCACTGGTTCTAACATCAAGCCCACTGGTTCTGACAGCACGAAGGTGTATCAGCCGACGGAGGGCTTCTTTACACCATTCGGGACGGGAGTGTTGAACGCCCTGTCAGGGAGATCCTTTCGGGATGAGAGTGCTGAATGTTCAATACTGACGAAAATGAACCAGCTGTTCGCCTGCCACGTGGAGAAATTGAGCGGCGAATTTGAGGCGAAGGATTTGGAGGCCTGCAGTTTGGACTACTTCGAACTGGCATCAATCATCGAAAGGCATATAGAAGGGGCGTTCGGAACCGTTAGTGACTGCCAACTGAGAATGGTTGCCACAGCACTGGGATACCGACGCCGGTCCGTACTGATTCGTAGCTGGGTATCCGGCTGCATCCTACAGTACGTCAAAGCCTCCATTCAAGACCTCATCACGTTCTGTACAGATCAACTCAAGTACAAACCACCTACTGACCGCCGCAGAACTCTACTGTGTTTGAGAAACAGATTTGAACCTGTCTCCCTCTACCTACAAAGACCATGCACCTTTCCTAAGCAAATGCTTACAGAAATGCTCATAGGCCTAGACCGCAAACTCTCCTTCGCCCAACTACAGAACCTCACCACCGCCACCATAGAACAGCAAAGGCAGTACTTGGCTCACGTTGCCGCTGCCAGACGTCTGATCGACCGCAAATCCAACGCCCTCGACGACGTTAGCCCCCTTGACCTCGCACCTCAAAGGCCGCCGGCCCGCCACGACCTCGTCCCTGCTGGTCCACCTGCCTCTCACCATCCCGTCCCTGTTGGTTCGCCGGCTTCCCACGACCTCGCCCCGTGGGGTCCACCGGCTTCCCACAGCCTCGCAGCTTCCCACGACCTCGCCCCTTGGGGACCACCGACCTCTCACGGCCTCGCCCCGTGGGGTCCGCTGGCCCCCGATGGCCTTGCCCCTTGGGGACCAGCAGCCTCTTCCGGCCTCGCCCCTGTTGGTCCGCCGGCCTCCCACGCCCCTTGGGGTCCAGCAACCTCAGGCGACCTCGCCCCTCGGGGTCCAGCCCCAGGCCACCCGGCCCCCCGGGGTCCGGCCCCAGGTGGCCTCGCTCCTTGGGGCCCGCAGGTCGTTGATGATTTCTCCCCTTGGGGTCCGCAGGTCGTCGATGATTTCGGCCCTTGGGATCCGCCGGCACCCAAGAAGCAACGCGCCGGTGAGCTGACGTAGTGCGACTGACCGACCCCACTGATGGCGGGGACTTGCTGAACGGCAGGGCCGGTCATGATCATATTTTTGCGACAACGAACGCATAGACAAATGCATGGTCGTCGGACCGCTTTCTGCTGGTGTCCTGAACACACGCGCTCGATGAGGGCCGGGAGAGTGAGTCATCCGGATGATCCGGATGGAAAAAAAAAAAAGGCGGGATGCGGACCGTATGTGCAGGGTCTTGCGTGCGTTCTCGCTGTGCCTTGTTTGTAAGTCCATGTCTCGGCGCATTGTCATTGGAAGGGGGTGCCTGGAACGCGTCGTTCGTCTATTTCCTGGAGAACGGTTCCGTTGTGGAGAACGGTTCCGTTGTGGAGAACGGTTCCGTTGTGGAGAACGGTTCCGTTGTGGAGAACGGTTCCGTTGTGGAGAACGGTTCCGTTGTGGACAGCGGTTCCGTTGTGGAGAACGGTGCGCTTAAGAACGGTTTGTCTTGTTCTGTGGTTTGCCAGAATGAGTCTATTTACGTGGGTACTCGTCGTCGTGCTAGGGCGAGTTATTCTCGGGTTAAAGATACAGATTATGTGTCTGTGAGTGAAGCGAAGATTGAGGGTGTGTTATCATCTGAAGAGTGGACTAGGTTGCGGGGGATTGAGGAGGCGGATTTGCGAGAGTGCCGATTGATATACGTAGAGTTGGGTGCGATACTATCATCGTTTGCGTCAAGGCCGGTTGGTTTCGTATCGTCTGTACATTGGCCGAGTTGGTTTGGTAGTATGCCGTTGCATTTAATCGAAGTATGGATAACGGGTTGTCTGTTACAGCGTTCAGGAGTTTCTATAAGTCGTTTAGCAAAATTATGCGTGGAATTAGGATATGTTCCACCCCGGTCTCGTTGGAGGTTGGAATGTCTTCGGGAGAAGCCCCGTATTCTATATGGGGATAAACGATACTCTGATCAAGCCAGACAGCTGCTTACGCGTCTGGAAACGGAACTGGTCGGGTCAGTGACGGCTGGTACTTTCGCCCGCATGGCCACGGCCTCAAGCGTTACGCAGAAAGCCTGGCTACTATCTTTCAGATCCTTCGACGCGTCCTCGGACGAGCACGTCAGATATATCAGACCCACAGCCTGGGTCACCTCACACATGAACAATCAAAGGGCTGAAATTTACGCCACGAAAACCACCTCAGGAGTTATTCCCACCGATTCCCACTTAACGGAAGCTGTTCCCACCGACGGAGGAGCGTACCGATATACCAGGGGTAATTTAACTCAATTTGCCAGGAAGAACAAAGCACCAGTGCTCACAGACAAACGAGTACAAGACAAGCTCACGGCGCTGGTAAACCGTGACTGGATGCGATTAGGTTCGATGCAATCGACGGACTTCGAGGCTTGCAGCTTAGCGTACGTAGAATTGGGTACAGTCATTGTTAAGCACGTCCACCACGCATTCGGCATCGCTTCTGCACCAGTATTGGAACAGGTGGCTACCGCATTGGACAAGGGACGTTTTACATCACCTGTACTCGGCTGGGTAGCCGGGTGTATCCTCCAATATGCCCGCTCATCAATTAACGATCTTGCCAAATTCTGTATACACGATCTCGCCTATAGACCTTTACCCGATCTCATGCTCGAATGCCTATTTCGCAAACACGAAACTCACTTGCAGTATCTTAAAAGAAAGGTCTATGATGACCCCTTAAATTACCTCATCCAACTTGTCTCCGGTCTGACGAAGAAAATATCACTGTCTGAATTCGCCGCGCTTATGCCCACAACACAATATTACAAGAAGGAATACCTCCAGGAATACTCGTACTACACTCAGCTACAAACCGGCATGCGACCACGGAATCGAACCGGCGGTAAAATGATCAAAAGTGGCTCGGCGAAGCAGACCATCAAAAGCGGCAAGAGGAAAAAAACAGGCCTCTCTGATACCGTGGCGAAAACGACTGACACCGATACGGTGAACATGGATAAAAAGACCAAGACATCTCCCCCAGCCCAGTTGGCAACAGCGATTGTACAAGACGCCGACCCGTTGATGTATTGCCACCCAGATGACGTGATTGAATTTCTTCGCTGGGTCGAATCACGGTAGCATGTGCCTACACACCGAGATCTGCCGACACGCTGGGGGCTGACACGGCTAATTAACTATATAGCAGGAGATGCAGGGTTGCTATTCGATCAATGACGTGTACGTTTCGGCTAATCAGCGAAGAAGACCCTTTGGCCCCCTTTAGCTTCGAAGTTCGTTGAAGTTTTGCGGCGTGGAAAAAAGTCGGGTTTAAGCGACGATGGCAGAGGCCTTGGCAGCGGTGTACTTCCAGGTGGCAGGAAGACGGCGTCTGCTTCTGTAGTAGCGGGCGAGTCTGTGGATCTTGGACTCGGTGAGGCCCACACGATACTTGCAGGATATATCACTATGGGCTTCTTCTTACCGTCGTCGTACGTGCGAGCCATGTTTTTTCTCCGTAAAAAACCCGTCAGGCTCTCGTCGGAGATCCAGAGTGAAAAAGGCAAAACAAGGTAGCAGGTTTTTGGCAGAAAGGTTGTGAACAAACCATAACACAGTCAGTCCACGGTGTGGAACTACAGTCCACGGTGTGGAACTACAGTCCACGGTGAATCTCTGCACTAGAGGGGGGGGGGGTTACTGTTGGCAAATTAATGGATCTAAAGAATGTTGGTCACTCTCTGATCCAGGTCGACGCATTCGCCGTATGTCAGAGTGATAAGTTTATGGTCCGGTTTGGCAAGTCTATCCAGCTGGAACGGTTCGAGTCGATTGGTTACGTCCAGAGCATGGGGTCCGTTGTTAACGTACTCCGTGACAAGATCTTCAATACAGAGGAAGCCCTGTTCCTCAAAGTTCTCTTCCACAAGTATATTGGTTGATAGTGGTACTATGGCCGTATCATCGCTAGCGTTGTTGTCCTGACCGGTGGTTGGTTCGCCGTCTTCAGTCTTGGATTCTTTCACCTTATTGATTTTGAGGGAGGCGCGTGTGCTCAGTAATTTTCGAAGAGTCTCCACAGAGATGGCGCCGTAGATGACGAAAGTGCCAAGTTGCTTCAGCATATTGATGTTATCGCGAGTGTTTGGTAGCACGGTGGCCTTGAACGGTTTTGATATCCGTAAGCGATTTAGTTCCTTGCGTACAGCTTTACATGGCAACAACTTATCTGAGCTTCGGATGACCATAACACATCCGCTACCCTTGAGAGGTTTCGGCAACCGCTTGTGTTTGGCAGCTTGACTGAACCGTCGTTTGGACCTTATCCTCTGTAGCGCGTCCATTGCCACCGCGTTCGCCGTCTTGGGCAACTCCGGCTTGAGAACCTTCTTTTTGCGCAACTTAGCTCGGTCCTCTGCCGTAGACCGCTCTATGAAGGTCTCCTTTCGCCGCCGCAAGACCACGGCAGACTTGGACGTCGACGGTTCACCACTCTTCAACATGTCCACCGGATAAAATAAAATATTACCCCGGCTAATCTGCGTCCTCCTTCCAAGCAGCTACGGCAAATAAACGGTACATTATCAATAACGCGTTCACCTTCACAATACTACACTTGCGCGGCACTCACTACTGGGCTCCACAAGCCAACTAGAGCCCCAACTAGAGCCCGTTAAAAATGTTCGTCAGAAAGTGTTTGGGAGTGGGGGGGGGTTTAGGGTGGAGTGGGGTTTAGGGCGGAGATGGATTTTTGCCCCTCTTAATAAATATGCGCCAGCGGCCCTACCATATAACGAAACGGGACAAGGAGGAAGGCAGCAGGGCTACGAGTGCACTGAGGCAGGTAGCGGCCTTGCAGAAGAGTGCCGCTGAACCTCGGGCTGGCGGAATCGGTGCAAAAGCGTGCAACGAGTACACAACTACAGGTACGCCACCAACCGCGTTTGGATGGCGGGCCTCCGCACACTTTGTCCGCACACTTTGAACGCACACTTTGAACGCACACTTTGAATGCATACTTTGAACATACTTTGTGTTTCAGCTTCGTGTCGGTTCGACACTCGATGTCGATACTCCCACGTGCTGCGGGCCGTGGCAGCCAAGCCCGAAGCACACTCCCAGCCGATCATTTGGCTAGCTATCGGACCCATTGCAAACGGCTACGAACTTTTCACCACCGGACGAGACCGAAAACTGATTGTAAACAGGCACTCCCAAGATAGCACTGTGGATGGCGTAGCACTGCGGAGTATGCAGCTGGAGGTTGCCGCGTAGGGCACGTTGCGAGCATTGCGTCGATGCGATCTAGGCGGGCGACTTCAGTTCCTGCCGTGGACTAACAATTCGTAGTGTGCATTGGTGAAGTTCGGCGGCAGGAAGTGTGTGCGACTGCGGCAGGCGTGTGCGTGATGTGTTGTTTTGTAGAGATGGGAGTTGCAGAGTGAGTCGGCAAGTGTGGCGGGCGCGGCGGAGTTGTTTCCGGTGGGTGCGGTAAGTACGACAGCGGGAGTGGCTCGGTATACGTTAGTGCGAACGGTTGTGACTCCGTTAGCTGCTGTGGCGACGGCTTTGTTGTTGGAGACGGATTTGTTAGTGGTGGCGTTGGGTGGCGGACGTGTGGTAGGTTTTGCGCGTGAGGGGAATTTAGAGTTCGAGGTGGCCGGACATCAGAGTGACGTTAATACAATGTTGCTCACACGCGCACCGATCGCAAATGTGCTGGTTACCGGAGACATGCAGGGCGCCATCCGCTTCTCTAACCCTACACGAGACGCCGCCGGCAATCCTGGCTTCGCCCTTGGTCGCCAGGTTCTTTCCCCGTTTCCCGTTACTCGGGTTGTGCAAATCCAAGACACTTGCTTCTTCATCGTCGGTGGCGTCGGCTTCGTGGCGACATACGATGCACAGAACGACGCTTGGGGCGCACTCTATAAATGCGAAGACCAAGAGGAGGAGGAGGAAGGCGCCATTCCCGGCCAAGGCGAAGTCGGCCAAAACCGATACAGCGGCCCCAGTGGCGGGGGCCAAAACCGATACAGCGGCCGGTCTGGCGGGGGCCAAAACCGATACAGCGGCCAGTCTGGCGGCGGCCAGTCTGGCGGCGGCCGGTCTGGCGGCGGCCAGGGTCACAATCAAGGTCGCTCCGGTGGCGGGCCGGGCCCAGGGGGTGGGGGGGGGCGAAGCCCAGCGGTAGCGATATGTCTAAGCGTCCTGGCTGTGGAACAGTACTACCTGGCCATCTTCGGCGGCGGGGAGGCTCTCTGTATCGACCGACAGGGGCAGCTGCAGGCGAGGCTACGGCTGCCGACACCGAAGCTGCTGATTAGCGCAGTCTACCTACAAACACCTCGCGGCCCGCGACTCATCACGGGTCATTCAGATGGAAAGGTTATTGCCATGGACCTCGCCGCTATGACTGCCGACTGGCACCTCGAGGCCCACGATGGAGACGTTCGCGGCATGGCTACCGCCACTGACCAAGCTACCGGCCAAGCCTTCTTCGTCACCGTCTCTGCAGACCGCGGTATCGGCGTCTGGACACCAACAGACGGAACCGACAACAAACCCCCACGAACAACAAATAAACCAACCAGACGAGGTGGCTAGTTAACCCCCCCGCCCCCCATGGCGGTGTGGACCAGGTGGTCCTTGAGCGCAATGATCCTTGAGCGCAATGATCCTTGAGCGCAATGGTCCTGAACGCGACAGCACTGAATGCGATATGACAAAAACTTCCAAAAAAAACTTACTCAATTCAGTCGCTCTTCCTTCGACAACGTACAGAGGTGGCACGGGGTCAACGCACAGAGGTGGTAGGAGGTCAACGCACAGAGGTGGTAGGGAGTCAGCTTAGTTTTCGGGCAGTGTGCCACCGAAGAACATCTTGACGCGCTGCATAACGGAGTCTTTGGTGGGGTCGTAGGGGCATTCTTTGCTTGGGATCTCCAAAATCGACGGGATCACTTCCGTGTACGTGTCCATCAACGGCCGTATCCGGTCGGCCACGTTCTGGTTTATCAGAATCATGCCGATGTCTTGCCTCTCCGTCAACGCGTGGAAGATCTCCTCGATCTCAGCCACCGGCGTTTCTGCAAGCGAATGCCTTAGCAAGGACAGAGCAGACAGGAGGAAGAGACGAGGTGGAGACTCGGGGTGTAAGACAGGAAATGGAGACAGGAGGTGGAGGCAGGAGGTGGAGACTCCTGTAAGACGCCAGCCGGGTATGGAGAGGCAGATCTGGCACAGGCTCCGGAGATCTGGTTCAAGATGCAGGGTCGGGGTAGATTTGGTTCAAACCGGCGAGTCACAGTCCCTCTGGACCACGGCGGCTTACTAGCGTTGCAGATTTTGAAGTTGGTGTTCCCGTCGCGGTCGCGATCACCAACGCCTGCGAGGAGGAAGCCGGCGACGGTATCTTCGTCACCGATGACGCCGATCTTGAGGTCCTTGGCGAAGACTGAGCGCGGGGCCATCGAAAATAATTTTTTAGAAGTAAATATGTTTTCTTGGTTCTGGAACGTGTTGACTTGGCTCGGTCTGGCGCACAAGAACGCACGATTGGTCTTCCTCGGTCTCGACAATGCCGGCAAAACCACTCTGCTTCACGTACTCAAGGACGACCGCCTGACCGCACACGTTCCCACTGTCCATCCGCACAGCGAAGAACTCATCATGGGCGGGGTCAAGTTTCAGACTTTCGACCTTGGAGGACACGAAACCGCCCGACGCATCTGGAAGGATTACTTCGCCTCTGTGGATGCTATCATCTTTATGGTCGACGCCTCTGACCGGTCCCGTTTCAACGAGGCCAAAGAAGAACTCGACGTAACCATACACACCCCTGCACCCCGTGGGCCTAAGTTAGTGCCACCCTTGGTCTGAGTCACCACCCACCGCTGTCCCGCCCGTCGAACACACTGACCTGGCCATTGCAGATGCTCCTGAACACGATGGAACTGGGCAAGACGCCGTTTTGCATTCTGGGCAACAAGATCGACAAGCCGGGAGCCACGTCTGAAGCCGAGCTTCGCCACTCCCTCGGATTGATGGAGCACGTCACGTATGGCAAAGAGAAGAAGGACAACCTGAACGTTCGGCCGGTGGAAGTATTCATGTGCTCCGTGGTGGAGCGCATGGGATATGCAGAAGCCCTGCAGTGGGTAGCTCAATTCATCTGAGTGAATTTCTATCACTTTGGATTGACCAGGCGCTTTGGATTGACGAGGGACCTACCATGTACTTCTAGGTGACACCTACTAGGATACGTACACCACCTACTAGGTGGCCGACAAGTAGGGTTTTTTAAATAATGGATTTTCCTCCGCAGTGTCTAGCAGGGATAAAGGAATGTCAAGCTGAAATCACGAACAAAGTACCCCTGATTTTAGAAGGTGTGCATACTGCGTTGACTGCGTGGTTGGCCAACTATGCCAGTATCGTAAAAGGGTTGGCTGAATGCGAAATCGTAACACACACATACCTATAATGTTTGAGTGGTTACCTTTAATGTTTGAGTGGTTACCTTTAATGTTTGAGTGGTTACCTTTTAATGTTTGAGTGGTTAATTTTAATGTTTGAGTGGTTAATTTTATAGACGGATGATATCGTGGTAGCGGATGTGCGTTTGACGGCTGAATCTTTACATTCTTCGGTGCAATTTTTGCTTAGTCGTCTGGGCTTTGAAGATCCTTTGTCGGAAGTTGTGAAAGACGCGCGAGAATTGGTATTCATGTACCAAGAGTTTCTGAGCGTGTATAACAAGGTGAAGAATAACCTAAAGTCGGAGATTCATCCGGAAGCTTTTGTTCGAGATGACAGCAAGGGACGAGTCCCAGGGGCGCAGCCCCGACTGGATAATTTTGAGGAAGACGACGAGAACAACGATTCTGGTTTATATAAAGCACCCCGTCATTTTGCGACCCAACTGGGAGTGGACGAAGACATAGAGTTGGAAAAGCAACAAAAGGATCGAGAGCGTCTAAAACGATCGGAGTTTGTTAAAGCGCTTACGGAGCAGTACACAAGCATGCCACGCATTATTGATGATGGCACAGATGACCTAGATAACAGAACACGGAAGGCCTTGGCCAACTACCAAACGAAAGAGACATATGCTCTAGACAATTATAGCATGCTCGACCGGAAAGATCAGAAAGAATATAATGAGCTTAAAAAGAAACAATCCCTTGCCAGTAAAGGTAGCTATCTTCATGACGTTGTTAATTTCGTCAACGACAAACCCCCAACCCACCCCGACCGGAATAAGACTCGCGCTAAAAAATCGAAAGGCAAAAGATCCGTTAAGAAATCACCCGGCAAGAAACATAAACGCTCATAATTCGCAATGTTTGTATGACACACACACGTGTGTGCGACACACGCGCGCCGTCGTTCAGTTCCCCTGAAAACCTAGGCCGGCGCCGGAGTTCTCCAACAAACTTCCATCTCGCTGCTCTGGCAGCCTCACTCACCTTCGCAATCGGCACTTTTGCAATCTGCATTTTTTGCAAACGGGCCTCATGGACGGGCCTCGCAATGGGCGCTCTTTTGTGCCACAGGAGAGACTTTCATTTTTCCTGGTTCCGGGAGAGGGGCTTTCTTGGATTCTTATTCAACCCTTCGTTCAACCCTCCCTTCGTTCAACCCTCCCTTCGTTCAACCGATCGGTCGGAAGGCACTCACCCTCGGTCAACGATTCCCTTTGTTCTGTCAACATTATGCGATGTGGGTTGTGCTGATATGTTGTGTACTTCCACAACCTGGGGGCACTCCCTACCTCGACGTCCCAGGCTTGGTGGAGTCCAGGCTCTGTTAATAAATCTCCCCCAGTCCCGCCCGGAGGGGTCTCGTCCGAAATAGTCTCACCCGGAGGCGTCATTCCGCTTATTTTGGCGGTGGTGGGGGAAGCTTCCGCGGGTCTGTTCCCCGGGCCTGTTCCACGGGCCTGTTCCACGGGCCTGTTCCACGGGCCTGTTCCGCGGGCATGTCCCGTTCCGCGTTTTCTGACATGCTCGCGCTGCATTCTCTTTCTCTTCACTCCGCCGACTCTCGAGGCAGCCTGCTCAGCCAGCCTCTTCATGCAGCCAGCTCGTGGTCGTGCCACTCTGTATACCTGCCTCCTAGACGCACGTTTCTAAGACATGGCAGGTATACGCGCGTGACGGTCCGAGAGGGAAGCCACGGTGAGGTCTCCAGCGTCCGGGGAGGAGGCGCGTCCAGCAGAATCCATTCGGGATAAGGGCTTGGGCGCAAACCAGTCGCTTACGAAGGAGTTCATCCTCTTCAGCGACACAGACCTACTACTACGCAGCAATTAATGTCGCATGCTGTATTGCGGCACCTTGGGGGCATGCTGGGGGTGGCTTACATCCGGTGGAGGTGGAACTTATATCGGAAGGTGGCTTACGTCGGCGTGTTGGGTAAGTAATGGTCGTTTGCCCGTGGTCTGGGTGGTAGTCGGAACCAGGTGCTGGGAAGGAAGCAGCAGACGCAGGAGGCTACGAGCACGACTACCAGGCTGACGCTGGCCGCAAGGAGGCCGGCGAAAACAAAGACAGAGAAGCGACATAGCGCCCAGCCCCAACGCAGCAAAAACTTGAACAGACTTGCGGGGCCTTCATCGAGCTCCACTCTGTCCAATGAAACGGCCTTACTAGCACGCGCGGCGGCGCCACATAACCCGTCGCAGGGTTCCTCGTCGCCGTCGGGCGGCGCGCCTTCGTCCTCATCGCCGTCATCGAAAATGTCGTCCTGGTCCACCACCAGCTCGGAACCCGTCGCAGGACTCCGAGACCGCAACAGTGAGAGCGAACTAACAGCCGAACTCATTGGCATCAGCAAAGGCGAAACATTGCCAGACTCACCGCTGCTCCCAGGCTGAAGGCTGCTCCCAGGTTGAAGGCTGCTGCCAGGCTGAAGGCTGCTGCTCGGAGGAGTCCGACATGTCCTCGGACTCCGGGGCGTCACGGTCACCGGCCCTGCTCGCGGCGTGGGGGGCCATAACCGCGGTAGTGAGGGAGGTGTATATTGAATGGGTAGTAGTACCACAAAGAGATCTTTTAGCGCTCCCGGGATCAGCCGCGGGTGCCGGTAATAGTAGCCCACCGAGGTCACCACGGAGACCAGTGATATCGCGTGCGCTGCGACGCGGCTATATACCGTCTCCAGCAACTCCTTTAGAGGCGGGACCTGGATCAACGGATTCGCAAACACCGAAGGCAAACTCAACTCCAGGTAAACGTCTTCGTCTTCGATCTCCACCTCGTCCAACGCGTCCTCGCCCCACTTCGACTCCTACCGACACCGCTACTCATAGCTGCGCACTCATCGCTGCGCATTCATAGCTGCGCATTTAAACACGCACACACGTGTGCTGACCATCTTGGGTGTTTGTTACTTTCCAGGTTCGATATTCGCGGAACGCGGAGGACTGAGCGGTTTCATATCTTTGTATTAGGTTGTCGGCATGCAGCATTTAAAAAGGAAATGTGTCCAAATAAAAGGCCTCTTGAAGTAACCACCCTCGCCTCGACGTTGGACGCCCCTGGGCGGCCCCACCTTCCATAATAAAGCTTCCCTGTAGGGAGACGGCTTCGGGGAGGGTGGTGTGCAAAAGCAGAGCAGGCGTGGCGGCGTTGCCGAATTCCTCAACGTCCTGCACCCGCCTGTCCGCGTGCGGGACGACGGTGCTCGCCCTCATGGTCCTGGCAGCAAATCCGCGCAAAGCAAACAACTCATTGGTCAGGAGTCTGGCGCCGACTCGCGGCATCTTGTTCAAGATAGATCTGACCCCAGGGCCAAAGAGTTCCGGTCCGCAGGGTCACGCCTCGGTGGGTCACGGCCCCGTGGGTCGCCGCTCTCAGACCCGGACTCCAGATCCCTCGGCGGAGGCGACCCCCAGATCGACCCGAGATCTGATCAAGCGCCGCAGCAGGCCGGGTCGTCCCCCTGGATGGAGTCTGTGACCAAGTCGGGGATCAAGTCGGTGACCACGTCTGTGACCAAGTCGAAAGCGAAGGCGGAGCGGTCGAGTGGGCGGGCAGTCGTAGCCGGTCCGCGAACGCCGCAGCGGTGGCAGGACTTGGCGCATGGACGGCCGGTCTTGGAGCGTGTGCGGGAGAGTTTAGAGCGTTGTCGTTTGAGCGACGAGTTCCGTCTGCTGGTCGTGAAGGGGTCGTCGGGTTGTGGCAAGTCTTTGGCGGTGCGACTTTTGTGCGAAGAGTTGGTCATTCCCGTGGTCGAAGTGAACCTCTACAACTCCTATCACGAACTGCTCGATGAGACCACCGGGCTCCTTGGATCGACGGATTCCGCCTCCGCCGGTTCCACAGTGGACAGGATCGCGATGGCACTCGCGCGATACCGAGTCAAAGCGGCCGAAGTCCTCAGTCGCTCGGAGCACCGCGTCGCACTTTGGCTCCGCGGCCTCTCAACTGAAATCCACACCGGCGGCCACCGGACCTACCGGGAGGCCCTGCTCAAAGGCCTTGAAATGCTGCAGCCTGACAAGAGGTTATTTGTCATCATTCTAGTCACTCTCGGACGCAATTCCGAATCAAACGATGCCAACTGGATACAGACACAACGTACGTCCCTCCGGCTAGCACCCCCCCCCCCCCCGGTGGTCCCCCCCCCTCCTCCCCTGGTAGGGGACATTGTTTCGGGAACACTTATATCCGTGGCACACACAAACACTTTTAGTGACCGGTAGCGGTATCGGATGTGACGTGATATTATTCCCGGAACCATCTCAGCAAATGGTACAGCGGGTGGCCAAGTACACATACAATAACCAGGTGAGTAAGGAGGATGTGGAGAAGGTATATTTGGAGACGGATAAGGGCGACATCCGACAGGTATTGCGGAAGTTAGACTACCACTTATTCCGTAGGGCGGCCGGTGAAGGGCAGGGCCTTTCTGTGGGCGAGGAGGGTAAGACAGATTCGTGGATCCATCCGTCGCACCTGGTGGCTAAGTTCATTCGGGCTAAGCGGATCCCGGCGGATCTGTTGGCCGATCGGAGGTTGGTTACAAAGGAAGAGTACCGGACTATGGTCGAGGGTTACCGACAGGCCAGCCTCGTTCTACGGCATCGACGTTGTCTAAGGGTGCCCCCCCACCTAGCCGTGTGGCACACATCCTTCTCCACCGCTCCGGTCTTCCCGTGGAAACTCGGCACCTGGTATGTGGAACTCAACGACCTTAAAGCTGAAGAATACTTAGAGGAAGTGCTACAGGACCTTCGAACAATACCATCAGGGATCACGCCACCGTTGGAAGGGACGCCGGAGTTGGGTGGTGGTCTCGACGACCTGTTCGACCGGACGAGCCGTCACCGGGGAGTGGCAGGTATTTTGCCGGTTCCGTTGAGGGCGGTGTGTTTATGGAATCTCAAGCGGACCCCCGGCTTGAAGCTCCTGACGGAGCTGGAAGGTAAACCGCAGGGTTCGGACCTGCTAGGAGGTGGGTCTAGAGATATCGGGCGGCCTAGAGATCCGGTTAGATCTGGGCACTTGGTTGGGGCGGTGGATCCGTCTTTAAGAGTTGGGCGAGGGAGTTTGTGGGAAGAGGCGAATGAGACACTGCGTGTCTTGCCCGATCAGCAGTACGGCGTATTGTTAGACCTGATGGTATCGCAAGTGCCGCACTTCTACACGTCCTTGGAGGACTGTGCGAAGTTGTACGAGTCGTTCGCTCAAGTCGACGTGTGGTATAACCGTGTTTGGGATGACTTGTCGGAAAGGTGTTACGTTCTAGCTCTGGCCGGCGGTGTGCTCATGACTGAACCCGTGGGCGCTGCACAGCGACGGTTCGGAGGCCTAAGCAACGCATTCACCAACATTAATCAACGCCACCTGGATGCATCCGCCACAGCTACCAGGCAGTCACTGCCTCGTAGCAAGATGAAGGCGGACGGAATGTACCCGGACCGAATGTACCCGGGCGGAATGTACCCGGACGGAATGTTCGTCTCCAACGCAGCCGTCACCAAGACGACCACTGCAAAGCAGTCCGTCCTAGAATTCAAACCAGCACTAGCACCCGTCCTTACTCTTTGCTGCGACGACATTGAAGATTTAACATGAAACATTCAACTGGGAAGAACACGATGAATGGGAACAAGATGAACGAGAGGAACAAGATGAACGAGAGGAAGGCCCGATCTAAATGCCGCCTATTCTGATCGTTTAATCTGAGCATCATGCGTGTGGGTGTGTGGAAAAAACAATGTGTCCTCGCTTGTCTTTGACGCTGTGTTGGATCTCCGTCATACGGGTTGTTTGGACGTCGGTTCCCGACTTCCAATCTTTCGAATTTGCAGCGGACTACAAAGCTTAGTAAGCGCCTATCGCGTCACCTGTCCTGATCAATCCCGCGTCATCAATCCCGCGTCATCAATCCCGCGTCATCAATCCCGACTACAGTCATCCATCCAGTTGGCTAAATGGTATTGAGCACGAACGAGTTCAGCGTTACAATGACTTAATGAAAAGCGTGCCGGAAGAGGCAGTGGTAGATTTTAATACCTTTGATTTGGTTGTCGAGAGTAGGTTGACAGAGACCTCCTGATGGTTGGGACACCAACCGTCAACCAACCACGAGGAGATTGGTGTGATGGTTGGTGTGATCACAACTATGTTACCTCTTTCTTGTTGTTTCAGCGGCTGTAGACAAGTTAGTTGACTCTTTGGCATCATTGCTACACAGCAGTGATATATATAGGGAGAACTGTAAGTGCTGATCTTAGCCCCTTTGTTCATATCCTCCTTTGGCTTAGTTGTTCAGTGCTTGGGTCCGGTGGTTTGCAAGAGGTTGTATGGTAAGTCTAAGGGGTATTTTGATGCGGCTATCAGTGGCTGTCGTAAGCTGAGTCTGTTCGAGCGGATCATTGGCAGGGTGCCCAAGCCAGTCCGCAGTCAATGCTCACTTCAAATTTTTTAAAAGCCATGAACGTTTTCGAACCTGCCAGATCAAAGGTACCCCTGAGCATACACACCCCCTGAGCATACACACCCCCTGGGCATACACACCCCGTAGGCATACATTGGAACACGCAGACCGAACATGTTTTAGAGTGATCGAGACGTGCGGCCGATGAGGACAACGTCTGACCAGCAGATGCCACGGAGTTTGGTGGCGGGGGGAGCTTTGCCTCGGCGTGTAGGTCGTCAGCCGATGCCGATGGGGAGTGGCAGTTCCCTCCGTCGCGACCGGAGTGTGGGGGAGGCCCGGCAGCAAACACGGCAGCACGCTGGGATAATCTTGTCGTACCTGCAATCGGACCCGCTGCGTCGTTTTAGCACACGTACGCGTGCGACCGGCCGCGATTCAAGCTGTAGCACAGCCACCACGACTGTGCTGGGAGAGGACGCCGACGACGATGCGCACACGGGGGTGCGAAACCGCGACCGTTCGCTTAGCGACGATCGTTCGATAAGTCGCGAACGTATCGATGCCCGGGAGCCAACCCAGGAAAAACATCGCTGGAACCGTACCAAGTCCCGCGAAGAGGAACGTCCGTCGAGACCCAAGAATTTTTAATGCTCCTCTTGCTGGCCGTCCAGACCCTCATCACGACCGTCCTGTGGAACTCAGCCATCCATACACACCTCCTAGTCGCAAGTGCCATCGGTAAACATCCACCGCCCATACCCCCCTCCCCCCCCCTTCCCCCATGCCCCCGACTCGAGACACAACTTACACTCCTGGTGGTGCCTATGCCCATGCTGCTAATGTATCCCTGTTCGGTATCCACACACTGCGGGTGGGTGATGTTGTTGTGATTAGGCATGACGCTGTACTGGGCTAGTGTGTTGTATATACCGTCGGCAGGTGAGTTGTTGATGGCGAAGGGGTTTTGGGGTGTGGATTTGAACAAGCATCCGAAGGAGCAAATTGATACCATACGAAGTGGGTCATCTGATCCCGAGGTTGTGAAAGCGACCAAGATGAAGCGAATGTAAGTATGTCAATAGTGTGTTGGAATGTTACCGTTGTAGTCCTGAGAGTCTCGGAGTAGTGACGGCGTTTGCATACTTTATTGGAGTCTTGTCCTTTTACGGCTACTTGCGTGTCGCCATGAACTGGGGTGTGGAGAAGGTATTGCGCGTTGACGACTACATGTGTGGTGCGTTGACTATTATATTTACTACCTTTTTGGGGTTTGTGGACGATGTATTAGATCTACGATGGCGCTACAAGATCTGGTTACCGTACGTGGCGGCAATTCCGCTAATTGTGACCTACACTGGTCCGACACACATTCGGCTACCGCGGATTCTGTTGCCTTGGTGGCTCAGGGACCGTCTTGTTTCTGGGGACAATATTACCTCTCTCGGCTTTTCCGGTTCTCCCGGTTCTCCGGGTTCTCCCGGTTCTCCGGGTTCTCCGGGTTCTCCGGGTTCTCCGGGTTACTATGAGATTGAGCTGGGGCTTCTGTACTACGTGTATATGATCAACCTGTCTGCGTTCTACTCGAACGCGATAAATATTTATGCCGGCATCAATGGTTTAGAGGCTGGTCAGGCACTAATATGTAACCTCTTCATCTTAGTTCATAATGTCATCGAGTGTTTCACAGGACCACAGGACCAGGCCTCCTCACATGCCGTCTCACTGATCTACGCCATTCTCTTCATGTACGTTACAACAGGGCTACTGTATTACAACCGTTACCCATCTCGAGTGTTTGTTGGCGATACATTTACTATGCTAGCAGGAATTCATTTGGCTGCATGCGCTATCATGGGACACTTTGCGAAAACTCTGCTTCTCTTTTCGATACCGCAAATATTCAACTTCGCCATTTCCCTACCGCAGCTACTAAAGTTAGTCCCATGCCCAAGACATCGGATACCCACATATGACCCTGATACTAAGAAATTAACGTCATCTAAAAACTGGACACTCATCAACCTCGTTCTAGAAGTCTTCGGTGACATGACCGAGAAGAGACTCGTGTTCGTACTTCTTGCATTACAAGTTGCTTCCGGAATTGTTGGACTGGCAATCAGATACTCACCAGTATACAATGTCATCTTCCAATAATCCGACAAAGGCAAAACTTGCCGAACAAACCCCCTCCTCCCCCCCCTTTCCACCCCCCCGCATGATGGCGACTGTGAAATTTATTACCAGACAACAAATCGACACAATCAAACGGTATACTGATATAGTATGTCTTGCCGACCGGAACATACAGTGTATGGTTTTGACGGAGAAAATGTTGTGGCCTGATTGGACTAGTATGGTCAGTGTCGAAACAGCATGATCCGCTCTTGAAAAAAAATGTAACCGGTATAGTGTAACCGATATAGTGTAACCGGTATAGTGTAATCGGTATAGTGTAATCGGGAATAATCATATCCCCCCTTTTAACCACCCCCAGGAAATACAACAAATGCCCGTTCACCAGCCTCGCTGAAGATGGGTTTGGCAGCGGCGGACAGCATATGCTGATCTATGTACGCGCCGCCGGCGCAGCGGTGCACCGGCGCAGCTGTGCACCGGCGCCGATGCTGGTTTATCTAGCCTTGCACCACCTGATCTAGTCTTGCAGCACCTGTTTGACAGTACGCGAAAGCCGCGAACGCCTTCGGCAGCACGCAAAAGCGTTTGACAGTAAGGTTAGATAGTTCTCAATAAAGGTTGCACACGTGTGTGCCGAGCCGTTTGGGACACATGTTCGGCAATGTCTGGATGTTGAAGTTGCTGATTTTCGTGGCAGTGACGGCGCAGAGTTCTTTGGTGGCTGACAGTCGGTTCGTGAGCCGTAGTGAAGGTTTTGTGAGTGGTCGCGGGTTACGATTGCAGGAGTTGGCGCACCGAAAGACGGGTGCACGGTTAGTAGTGGTGGTACCAAAAGAGAAGGACAAGGAAAAGGGTTTTGCTGTAAGTTTCCGGACGCCAGCGGTTGATGACACTGGAGTGACACATATACTGGAGCACTCAGTTTTCGAAGGCAGCAAGAAGTACCCTGTCATGAATTCGATTTCACATTTCGACCGTTCATCCATGGCCACCTTTGTGAACGCCATGACGGCCCCGGAGACCACCATGTACCCCGTCGCCACCGTCGACGCCCAGGACCTACTCAACCTCGCTTCCGTCTATCTCGACGGAGTTTTCGACCCCCTAATTCTCACCGATCGTACCGGATTCGACCGCGAAGGCTGGCACTACACACTCCGGCCACCCGGGGTTGGAGGACCCACATTGGCGTATGGTGGAGTAGTATATAATGAAATGAAGGGGGTCTACAGCAACCCCAAAAGCTTGGTTAGTCGTACAGTACGACGTCTGCTATATGAGAATTCCACATTAGGACTAGAGTCTGGGGGTCATCCAGAATACATACCGTCATTGAGTTATGAAGACGCCATCAAATACTATAAGCTGCACTATCATCCTTCAAACGCCTACTTCTATTATTATGGTGATCTTGACCGGTTCAATGAATTGCTCGATCTCATTGACCATTACTGCAACATGTCCCAACTTCGTTTTCAAAAAGAATTCAAAACTCTCGGTGAGTGGATACCGTCCAAAACGGCCATCAAGCTGCCTCAGTTGCCACAGCGATCTCAACCTTGGCCGAACCCCACTTCTTGGCCGAACCCTACTTCTTGGCCGAACCCTACTTCTTGGCCGAGCCCAACCCCGTCCTCTTACCAGTTCGGTAGCTTCGTACCTTACACGGGCCACCTGTCTACGTCGCCTGTGGGCAGCGAAGACAGTCCGAACGTGAAGGTGGTGCGGCAACGAGTACCTAGCACGAATAACAAATCCTCAATTCGTGTGGACTCACTGATCGACTTTGCCAAGAACTACTCCGCTTGCGACCTACAAGCTATCAGTGTCTTGAGCTCCCTTTTCGCAGCCACGAAAGAGTCTCCGCTTTGGTCACGACTTGAGGCCGAGCATCTCGGCGAACACGTGGTCGGTGGCAGCATTTCCACCGCGTATCCGGCAGTGCAGTTCGCACTTCAAATCGATGGCGTAGACCCCGACTGGGTGTGCCCCGAAGAGGAAGAGGAAGAGTACTCGGCACACATGAACAAGTCGTCTCCATTCAGTCAGCCGGCAGAAGGTCATACCTCAGAGGGTCATCCCTCAGAAGGTCGGGGTCAGCGACATTGTGCGGGTTTGGGTATCGCGGAGTACTTATTACAGATCATTGACGAGGAAGTGGAGCGTGCATCCTTTGATCATTCGCGAGTTCACAGTTTGCTTAAACGTTTAGAATTCTCTTTAAAGGCGCAACGTTCCACACGTTCGACGCATGCGATCGAGGTCTTCGAGGACATAATTGACCCCTGGATTTATGATGACGACGTCTTTAAATTGCTGGACACTGATACTCACTTGTCCTGCGTGCGCGCGCGTTACAGCGAAAATCCCAATTACTTCCGTGAGTTATTGCACAACTTGCATCCATTGAGGGGTAGAAAGGTAGTCGTCATGAAATCCATTGGCAATAAGGAGGTTTCTAAAGAACGGGAACAGAGCGAGCGACTTAAACTACGAAGGATACAGAACACTATGAAGCCTACGGAACTTAAACAAATCGCTCTCTATGCACAACAGCTTGAAGATGCCGTCAATGGAGGCGATTCTGACGACAACCTTGCCACTCTACCTACCCTCTCTATTCATAATATTAACCCCAACGTTGACGAAGACTCCTATCAACTCCATCTCCTCCAACCCAGCAGCGCACATGTGCAAAGAGACACACTCTCTTTTCACATTCCGACAGCGAACGATCCGATACAAATACGGGGCAGACACGGGCAGACGCGGGGCGGGGATCAGACGCTGCATGAGTCCCGACACAGCGCCGAACATTGGCTCAAGTACTTCTCCGGACTCAGAGGCCACGTGGGTCACACATCCGATCTCTCTCCAGAAAACCTCCATGGCGAGGCACTACCCGCTGAAAAGCACGCCTCGAAAGAGCTAGCCGCAGACGAGCTGCCTCTGGAAGAGCTGCCCGCGGATGAGTACGATCTCGCCGGGCAGGCACTCGTGCTCAGGCACACAGCCTCCGCGTCCGGGCCAACCTCGCCATTTGGTGACGGCGTGGTCGAGACGCAGTGGTTCATTGAGGAGGCGGCACCTTGGGATAGAGACCGGGAGGTTGTAGGCTCGGAGGTAAGGGACCTGAGTCCTTTGGGAGACCTGAGTGCTTTGGAAGACCTGAGTCCTTTGGAAGACCTGAGTCCTTTAGAGTTGGTCCGAGCAACAGAGTCGTCATCGTCGTTGTCTGATGGGGTACCTTTGTTCTATTATCCGGCGTCTACTGGAGGGTTGGCATTTGTGACGTTGCACTTTGACTTAAGTGACTTGGGCCTGGAGGATTTGGCACATGTAGGTTTGATTAGTTACTTATTCAATCACGGTTATGTTGCCAATTATTCGCCGAAAGAATTGCGTGAAAAGCTAGATGCGTATACAGGCGGGCTGTCATTTGATTGGTTTGTGAAGGAGACGAAGCGGTTCCGTTCGGATCAGGTTTCCAGTCGGTCGGAAGGTGCGGTTACAGGCTCCCTTAAGTTCCGTTGTCTGCTATCGGATCTGGAGATCTGTGTGACCTTGGTTGAAGATATTTTGCTTCGACCCAACTTTGAACACCCTGGCAACGCTGCAATCGCACTCAATTGGCTGAGCAAGGAAAAGAACTCACGTGAGGCGCTCCCGCTTAAAAATCCCAACTCTGTCGCCTCACAAAAGGTCCGCGGCCTCGTCAACCTCCGTAGTCGCCTCGTAGAACTCATAGACGGAGTCGACTCGGTACAGTTCTTCCTGAAACCTCTACTCGATGAAGTCACCCAGCACTCCGCCTCTCAACAACAGTCGGAAGCAGGTGACAAGGACACACCACAGAACCCGCCGGCACAGTCTGGCTGGCAGTTCGGATTGGGCAAACGGTTGAAGCGAACCTGGAGTCGAGTGTTAGCTCAGCAGAACCTGGCCCTGCAGTTGACGGGAGACGCGGGGTTCGCGGAGGTGCGGGAACGGTTGTTGCGTTTAGTGGATAAGTTACCGACACGTGTGGGAGAACCGTCCTACACCTTGGCTGGTGGACGTCAGGACCGGCCTAGTGTGTGGTTGCAGGAATTGCGGGGTCACTGGCAACCGGCGACAGATGGTGTCGCACAGACGGTAGCTGCGGACATCCTTGTCAACTACAACTATCTCTTGGTCCCTCTACAGGCCGAAGGTGAGGATACTCACATGCACTGGAGCCTGTGTGCAAAAATCCTGGGCAACAAATACCTCACTCCACGAGTACGCATGGTCGGCGGTGCATACGGCGTCTGGAGCACCTACAACTACCATGATGGCTACCTTGTATTCGGCAGCTACCGCGACCCGCACCGTAACCAGACCTTCGAGGCATACCGCGCTTCCGCACCCGTCCTTGCCAAAGTCACTCGCCCTGAACTCGACGGATACGTCATCCGATTCGTAGCAGACATGGACAAACCCGCCAGCGCTCTCGAAAAAAGCAACCGACAATTCAACCGCTGGGCCGAACATGTCACACGGGCACAACGCCAAGCCTACCGCGACGAGATCATCCACCTTGATCTCCAACATGTCCACCACTTCATGCACGTCCTCAACCAAACACTCGTCAACCAAACCGGCATCAAAGTCACTGTCGGAACCAACTAGACGCAGGATCGAGACCTGCCGACCGCACCAGACCAGCGACGCAGCAACCGAGCACTACGGACCGTGGTAGTCCCAGCGGAGATCCCAGTCAAAGTGGAGACCCAGTCGTCGGGGTCAGCTTTCTTCTCTAACGCTTATCAAAGAAATGTAGGAACGCTGGGGCAGGTACAGAACGCTGCTGCCTAAAGATAAATGCTTACTGTCACAGAAACCGCTTACTGTCGCAGGTCCAGCACGTCATGGCGTTCAAGACCTTCTTCAAGCCAGGAGATTTGTTCGTGCAGGTAATCGCCTTACAACCCTCGGAATGAAGACAAATCCCCTGTACTGTTTCCGCCGTCAGACGCTCTGGGATAGTGGTCGGCAGTCGCTGAATGCTCGGGCACATTATCATAAAATCGTCTAGCTGAATGAACTTGTTACCGATTGTTTTTTGTCCGATCAATTCCTTCCTATTTCGATCTGCAATGTCGCTCCATTTCCCAGTAACCCCCCCCCTTCCCCCTGTGGTGCCCGTCTTCCTTCCCTTGAGACGAGGTTGACCGACGCTGAGCCAGCCCTTACTGTAATGTTGACTGTGCTGTATAGTACCAAGGCATTGAACCTCTATGGGAACCTCATCTTCCTCGCAATGAGATCCGTCGACATAATATTCGCCATCTACATACCTCTTGTTGAGTATCCAGTGGCCGCAAGTAGCGCTTGCAAGGACTTGAGCTGTCTTTTCACACGCAATCTTTGTCAGCTCCGACACGTTCCGGGTCTCTTCCTCTGGCGGTATCCGATCAATGATGTTTGGGTCCACCCGGAATCCGAACTGCGGGATCACCAAACTCGTAGCCGATTCGGAATCTGCCGATTCGGAATCTGCCGGCTGGCCAACAGTTGAATGGAGCAACAGGGAGATCCAGCGCCAGCGCATACGCGTTCTCGGCACAATCAGCCTCAACGGAGGATCAGTCTGGGTAATTTCCTCGCGTGGGGTGGGTGGCAACGAGTCGGTGGAATTTGTTCATTTTTAGCCGGATAAATGAGATGAATCGGCTCAGTGCTGCGTTTTTGCTGAGGAGTCTACCCCTACCGTATGCTGAACGCTTGGTACGCTCCCTGACTTTGGAGTAAGCATCCCTTGCAGTTCCTGATAGCGCGCTTTTTGGTCTGCCGCACACGTGTGTGCGCGTGAAGTTCGCTTGCAAAATGCTACGTGTTCTGGTAGTAATGGAAGTGCCATGGCGGATTTCGAAAGATTGACTAATATGGATGGTTTGAATGAGATCCAGAAGGGGGCGCACAGCGTTGTCCCCTTGTTGGCTATTTTGCGATTTATCGAGTATTGGGAGTATCCGGCGAATCCCGCGATGGGTCCCAAGCCTCAGAATGATTGTTGTTTCGGATGTTTACTATCCTACATTTTTCGTCACCGCCATTGGATAGAGCGTTGGACTTACCACGATTCGAGTATGACCAAGAATCTTTGCCAAATGATTTTGGACCAAATGGTGATGGCGCTGTATAGGCTTAGTCTGAGCGAAGACTGCCATTCCGATTACGTCACTCCCGACGGTCGTTGGAACGCAAAGCTGCTGGCTGAAGTGGGCAGCGACCACGCTGCCAGCGGCGCGGCTTCGGGGACCAGCGAGCCGAAGAGTGTCACTCTCTGGAACTACTTTGCTTACCAAACGCGGCTCTCGTCCCCGATACAAGAGCGCGCGCACCTTCCACTTACCCTAAACGAAATGTCGGACAGCGAAGAAGACCACCGTCCTGCGCCAGGCGACTCCCGTTCAGCAGCCCAAACCGCGAGGACTGCACGTCCAAAGATTCGTGGCGTTTCTACAGGGAGTCTGCAACAGCCGCAGGCACCTACACGAAGAGTGTCGCCCGTCGGTGGATACCTCACAACCACACCCACCAACCAAAATTCCGCCGTTCAGGGTTCCGCCGCCCAAAGTTCCACAACCCAAAGTTCCACCACTCGATTGGTCCGAAGACCGGGCGAAACTGTGCCTCAATGGTCTTCGGAACTTGAACTGAATAAGCCAGAGAGAAAGACACTCCGGTTCCCTAAGCACGACGATCCTCGACGTGTCATTCCGTCTCTGTGTAAGGGACACTACCTCCTGGACGTGTTGAAGAAACTGAAAGCGCTGGACTGCTTGGAGCGGTGGGCCAACTTCCGCGAAGCCCTCTGTGATCACCTTCTAAGCCAACTACTCCCCTACGTGAAAGGAGACCCCGGAACGCTGGTCCCCGTCCCCTCCCTGACGCTCTTCCTCTCTCTGGCCCACCCGAATCGAACCATACTCCGGGGACTGCTGGCCTCGCTCCTGATCAAGGCGTCGTGCATTCTGCTACGGCACCACCATGTGGCCTTCATCGGACTGATGATGGACACTATAGACTACGAGGAACGCGTAGAGACATTGGAGAAACAAATCTCGCTCCAGGCGTCATGCTTCCTCGTCGCGGACCCGCCGGAATCGGAGCAAGCTGCACAGTCGGATGCCGACAGCTCGGTTTATCAGAGCGCAACTGGTGGTAGTGCCATTGGCGGTTGCGCTTCTGGTGTTAGTGCCGCTGGTGGTAGTGTCACTTACTGTATCGCACAAAATTTAACCAAGTCGAACAACACTACCGTAGACACTACAGCTGAGACTGAGGCGGCGGGGACTGAGGACAGGGAGTGTCTGAGTAGTCGGATAACGAGCGGCTTTCTGCGGCGGTTGTCAAGTCGGAAGTTGCGTGTGTCGGAAGAGGAAGAGCCGGAACGGTCTCCAGTGCTGTTGCGTTGGCTATTGTTGGAGCGGTGTGCTTGGTCGCGGCTGGCAGTGCTGACTTGGCATTGGTTCTTCGAGGCGCGTGTGGAGGAGGATCTGGAGGCTGTTTTGTTGCTGGATGGCGTTGGGCATGAGGAGAAGTTGACGGTGCTGCGCCTCTTGATTTTACGAGTGAACCGGGACCTGGAGTCGGGTACCTTTCTGCGCGATCTAGATCCGGCGGGCGCGAATCGTTTGTGCGACTCGGCGCTGCTCCCACCCGGACGTACCGCCAGCAGTCTCGAACACATGCCCACCGAAGGCAGTCTGGACGACTTCCCCTTCCCTGACCTGCTCGAGAAAGGGGGTGGGGGAGAAGCTACTGGGCGGGAGACAGATGCCATCATGCGGGAGACAGATGCTACCGGAAAAGAGACAGATGGTATCGGAGGGGACAATTCCGGAAGGTTCAACCCCGGTAGGGACTTCTCTAGCGCTAGAGATTTCTCTACCGGAGGCGACTTCTCTATCGGGGACGACTTCTCTACCCCGAGAGATTCTTACGGGGGATATTCCCCTTCTGGGGGATATTCCGTGGGTGAGTCTTGTGGAGGGGCGGCGGCCAAGTACGAGTTGCTTGCTCGGGCGCGAGGGTTGCCACTGCAGAAAACGTATTCGGTGGCGTGCACATATTTGGCGCAGTTCGTGAGCATAGACTGCGACCTCCTGCTGCGTATGATGGCCGGGATCGACACCAAGGGCCTGTTTGTGCATCCGTCCGGGCGTGGTAGTCGGTCTAAGTACTACGACGAGGACTGCTGGCCTTATGACGTGGGCGAGGAGGAGGAGCCGGGGCGTCGTTGGTCCTGTGTGATCAAAGAGTGCGTGATCCCGGTCGAGTACCATTGGGTTCCCAGCCGTAAATACCTCAAGTACGTCCTGGGCATTATGTACAACTGCATCCTGCACGGGCGCAAAGAGTGGCTCATCCTCAAGTCTTACCTACAGACCTATTCCGAGTGCATGCCCTCGCTCAAACTCGTCGACCACCTCCTCCACCAGGCGGACGACGAATGGCTGCAACTGCGCCGAAAAGCCGCCCCCGTACGCGCCACCGGACGCCGACGGTCGCAGGCACAGAGCCCTCTCGCTGGACAGGACCGCTCCCAGCCGGCCGCGAGTCTATTGGGCCCGTGTTCTTCTGACGTAGCGCCTGGCGCCGGGAGTCTAGTCGCCTCGGGGGCCCTATTCGCCCCAGGTGGCGAGGTGGAGAACCAGTCGGAGTTAACTGAGGGCCGGTCGGAGAAAACGGAGATCCAAGTGCACTTCACAGGCAAGGTGGCGAGTGACGCGGTGGATGGTGCGAGCGAGCGTGGTTGGAACTCGGAGGGCGCGTCCTCCAAGTCGGAGGCGGCATCGAGGGCAGCTCCCTTGCCCTCGTCTGCGGAGGGAGGGGCCGCGAAGGGTGGGTCTGAGGTGGACTTGTATGCTTTGATTCCCGACTTGGATTCGTGTTGGACTGTGCTCAGGTGCATCATCGACGACGAGGTATGTCGCGGGATTCTGCAATTTTACGAGAGCGGGTGTATTCTGGATCTGATTGAGTTTGTGACGTTGAACGTGACCAGTCTGACTTCTGCGGTAGTGGGATGGCTGAAGTCGGTTTGGCAGTCGTTTCAAATGACTGCGGAGTTGGAGTCTCTTATCTCTGACGCCATTCTGTATTCATTCGATATGTACGTGAACCGAGTGGAGGACAGCGCCAGTGGTCTGCTGTCGGGTCTGGTGGCAGATGTGTTGGTCGCAGATGTGTTGGAGAAGGAAGCGTTGGTGGAGACGGGTCCGCTGGTGGGTCGAGCCTCAGGATATTTTGACCCGTATCAGCTTACAATGTCAATGAAGTTTTCGCTGATGTTGGAGACGCTGGCACCGTATCTGGGTGTTCAGTCTTTGCAGAATATGGTGGAGTACCTGATGATGTCTAATGTGGCAGTGTGTGGAGTTGCCGGTGAGCGTGGGAAAGTGGGTATTACTGACCATTTGTCGCGAGTGGGAACAGGTAGTCAGGTTGCTGCTTGTCTGTCTTTGATGGAGGAGAATAAGGGGACTCTCGTTTGGCTGCCATGTATCAAGGTATTGTTGAGAATTTTAGTGGAGCGTTATGTGCCTGAGAGTGTTCGTCAGTGTTATATTGATGACGTGGATGAGGTGGATGAGAACACACTGCGCGAGGTCAATGCGTACAAGTCGTTGCGGGTCTTGGCTGATAAATTGATAGCGGACCTCCGGTGCAGCATCCTGAATATTTCCGGTCACCGGGAGCACCTGTGCGCTGCGTTGGAAGCACTGCACTCGATCCTACTGATTCACACCACTTGCAACACTAGCCTGCTTAGCAGAATAGTACAAATATGGAGCATACTCCGGACGCTTTTAGAGGCTCCGATTAAGGTCAACGAAACATACTTTCTCACTTGGAAGTGGGTCCATACGGCGTATCAATATGCTCCCGTCTTCACAATTAGCACGTAAGCAGCATTCCTTCCCGATTTAGTGCTTGAATTGAGTGTGCTGTAACGAGTTTCTTCTCCATGAATGCAGACACTGAGTGCTTGATTGTTTACGGTTGCAGAGTGGGTAAAAACGTTATAGAAGACACATACCAGAAATCATTAGTGCTGGGTATGCCGGAGTTCAAAATCTTGATGGAGGATTTAAAGAACTATGCGTCCTTTTCAGAGACGTGCGCTACGGGTGGGTAAGTTCATCTTTTTGGTCGGCGGGCCCCGTGAGTTCGGAGGGGCGGGCCCCGTGAGTTCGGAGGGGAATTGGAAGCCTTGCTGAGGGTTAATTGGCAACCTCGTTGAGGGTTGGTTAGGCGAATTTTGCCTTGTGCCGGGCAGCTAGGCGAATTAATATTGCGATGGATGTGGTGCGGAAGGCGTTGCTGAATCCGAAGCAGTTGCGTAACGTGTGTGTGGTGGCACACGTAGACCACGGGAAGACGTCAGTGTGTGACCACCTTGTGGCGAGCAACGGGTACATTGCGGCGCGGTTGGCCGGAAAGACGAGGTTCATGGATTCGCGAGAGGACGAGCAGCGCCGGCTTATCACCATAAAGTCCTCCTCCATTCCGCTGCTGTACCGACCTTCCAGGGGTACTGCCGAGTTGAGTGGGATTGTCGAGTCGAGTAGCTGTGAGCAGCCGGTTGACGAGTACGTCATAAATCTCATTGACTCGCCGGGACACGTGGACTTCAGCGTGGAGGTAACGGCGGCCACGCGTCTGTGTGATGGGGCGTTGATTGTGGTGGACGTATTGGAAGGCTTACGGAGTCAGACTAAGAGTGTGATGCGTCAGTGCATCGCGGAGGGATTGAAGCCAATGTTGGTACTGAATAAAATGGATCGTTTGTTCGGCGAGGCGCACATGTCGCACGGAAATGCGTACACACATCTTCGGGATGTGGTGGAGAGTGTGAACGCATACTTGCACAAGTGTGTGACTGACACACACTCACGTGTCAGTGAACGAAATGTTAGTAGTAAAATGGACAACGAACACGGCGGTGTAGGACACGGCGGTGTAGGACACGGCGGTGTAGGACACGGCGGTGTAGGACACGGCGGTGTGGATTATCTGGACGAGGTGTACAGCGCGTTGTCATTCGACCCGGTTAAGAGGAATGTGTTGTTCGCCTCCGCCTCTGACGGCTGGTGTTGTGGGAGTGCAATGGCGGCAGAGACATTGCTGCGTCGGCTCCGACTGCCTCGATCCAAGTTGTCTCGGTTGTTGCCGGTATGTTGGGGCGAATGGTATTTGCATAGGAAGTCAGGACAAATCTCGCGACGGCCGTTCAAGGGACAGGCAGCGGACGCTACAGTAGGGGCAACCCAGCTACTGCAGACGCTGGAACAGGTCTATAAACTCAATGCAATTCCCCCTGACGAACTCGCTCCCTTCATCTCCAAGACAGCCGCCTTCCTTCAAGTGGAGATCTCCGAACGAGAAATACGTGACTGGACTCGTAAACCAGGCACCGCCGCCGGAGCCCTTCTCGCCAAATGGGCACCCCTGGGCAAAGTCCTACTCGGCGCCATCGTTGCTGGCCTTCCCAGTCCCGCAGACGCCTACGCCGCACGCATCGAACACATCGACCGAGTCGGGCCCATCGGCGGCGACTCACAACACGACGACCCCGACGCCTGGGAAACCGAAGACGAAGACGACCTAGTCGCAGATTTGGGCGAAGACCTGAGCGCGGACCAGGACAAAGACGTGAGCGCGGACCAGGCCAAAGACCTGAGCGCGGACCAGGACAAAGACGTGAGCGCGGACCAGGACAAACACCTGAGCGCGGACCAGGGCGGAGAGCAAGATTATCATCAGGACGCTAGGGATGTCGACCATGATGGGGACGGAGACCACCACCACCATCACCAAGACAATGGGAAGCTCGACCACGATCGGCAAGTCGGCTGGGAAGGTGGTATAGATGCGCAAGAGCTGTTAAGGAAACCATGTGTGGTGTTCATCGCGAAGAGTATGCATGCACAGCTGGGCAAGTTGCGATTGACGAGTGATTCGTTGCACGGGCGCGAGCAGGCGGGGGACTTCGTGGGATTCGCGCGAGTGTTCGAAGGCCGTTTGCACGAGGGGCAGCGATTATTTGTGAACGGGTCAGAGAGTTCACAGGTGACAGTGAAGCACCTGTTCGTGCCAGTGGGCATGGATTTATGTCCGGTGGCCGCAGTGGGGGCGGGTGCCATAGTGTGTATCGCGTTTGATGAGAGTGGTTACGAAAGCGCGAACTCGGTGGACGCGACCGTACGGTGGCTGTTAAGTCTAAAGAAGGATACGAAGGATCCAGAGAATGTCAGCCGCGGCTTCAATGCAGTAGATCGCTGCGTCACACTTTCAGAAAACGCTCGCCAACGACCCCTGAGTAGCATCTATCTTAAACACCCCGTCGGCTCGCTCCGTTTCGGTGTTACGCCGGCTAATCTTCAGGATTGGCAAGCCTTCATCTCGGCCTTGGCTCTCCTCTTTCGCGCGGACCCCGCTGTTAGTCTCGAAGTAGCCACCGATACGGGAGATTTTATTGTCTGCTGCCAGGGCCAAGTCCACCAAGAACGGGTCGTCCAGGACCTACACCAACTTTACTGTCCTGAGATCCAGCTCAACATCACGCCGCCTCTAATTAGTCTCCGTGAAACTGTCTGCGACCCCCCCGCCAACCTCACCCTCAGCAAGTCTGCCCGCGAAGCGGCTTTCCCACCCTGGGCTGGTGCCCGGCCGCAGGTCGTCGGATCGAGTCCGGGCGAGGGCGCCCTCGCTACCTCCTTGAGCGAGGGCGCCATCTCCTCCGGCGCCATCTCCTCCGGCGCCACCTCCTCCGGCGCCACCTCCTCCGGCGCCACCTCCTCCGGCGCCACCTCCTCCGGTGCGATGGTAGGCTCTTGCGTGAGCGGTGACAACTGGGTTATGGCAGAGGCGAGGCCAATGCCGGCCGAGCTGCTGACCTTCATGGACCAGCATGCGGCGGTGTTGAACGATGTTTTCCACCAGAAGATGGTCACGCCCAAGGTGGCGCACTTCATGGCCCGCCGGCGGCCGAGTCGGCGAGCGCCACGACCACCGGCTTTGCCGCCGCTCCTTCCGGGTCCGTGTCAGAGCGAGATCGAAGGCGACGGGTCCTGGTCTGTGCGGGAATGCTCGGAAGTAGTGTTGGCGCACATTCAGAAGTTGTCTGGCATGAAGAGTGGCAGTTGCGTGGGCGTGTGTGTGAGCTCTGACAGTCGCACGGTGGCCTTTCTGGCGGATGCTCCGAACGCAGATGTCGTGGGCGCGATTCCGGGTTCAGGCGCAGGTGCTGATTTGGTTGGGGGCAGCCCGCGTGCGGTGGAGGCGGAGGCGGACTTGTCGGCATTGACGACGGAGAGCAACCTGCGGTCACGGGTGCGGGGAGGGCGAGCGGCAGGTCCAGGTTCAGTTCGGGCGGAGGAGGTCGCAGGTTCGATTCCAAGGGATGCCGAAAGTCGGCGTCGCGAATTGAATGTGGACTGGTTGCGGGGTACTTTACGGGAACGGGCGGCATTAGCCACGCGGCACGCGTTAGACAGCGCAAGCCGACGCGGGCCGATCTGCGAAGAGCCAGTGCGGGGTGTGATATGGACGGTGACGCAAATGCGAACGGCAGAGGCGGAATCTTCGACGGGCGAGCCGGCGACTATGCCAACGAGTTCTTCTGCATCCCGGGTGGCGACAGGGGCGCTAGGACCGTTAATGGGTTGTGCCAAGACGGCGATGCGGAACGCGATGGAGACACGTGGTGCGGTACGTGTGTGGGAGTTGATGTTGCTCTTTGAGATCCAGTGCAGCGAGGAGGTGTTCGGGCGAGTTCATGACATTGTGAGTAGCAAACGGGGTACTGTGTTGAGTCAGGACATCCAGGAGACTACGCTGGAGTTCGTGCTGGTCGTGGAAATGCCTTCCAGCGAGTCCTTCACACTCTCCGTAGAACTCCGCAAACACACCAGCGGTAAAGCCACCTTTATCCCACTCCGCAGCTACTGGAAACTCAACCCCGATGATCCCTTTCCCGAAGCCGTTCTATCTCCCGAAGAAGAAGAGGAAGCAGGCGCCAAGGTTGTCGTCTCAGCCAACGTACCCCGAAACCTCCTCAACCTCGTCCGCCAACGCAAGGGCCTCCCCCTCGGCGGCAAAGTCGTCGAAGAAAGAGCAGACAAACAACGCACACTTGGCAAAAACGTCTAACCCAGAGGGCGTGGGCGCGGTCCCCACCCCGCGCGAAGTGTTCCCCC